GGATCTGGTTAGGGTAGAGAAAAAACCCTCAGTTTTATTTGGGTGGGGTGAATCGGTCCCTGTCGTGTATTCAGTCAGCAAACGTTTAGGGAGGGCCCACTGCGTGCCGGCGCTGAGCTGCTGAGCGATGGATGGTGGGTGTGGAAGGGGACCGGTTTGTGTCCTGAGGAGCCCACAGGCCTGGGCCGAGGGCAGTTACGCCCACTTTACTACATAAATAATAAGGAGCGGGCTCTGCAGATGTATCGGGCAGAGTGTCATGCGCAGCTCTGGCCACACGGTGGCGACAGAGGACAGGCAGTTCTGGTCCCTCCCAGCCGCTGGAGGGGCCCGGCTGGGGATGGCGCAAGGGGTTAATAGCAGCAAAAGTGCTTGGGGCTTTCTGGCTTCCTCCTGGCAAACCCGCTCCTGGAATGGCAAGGATCAAGGCGCTCAGTCCATATCCATAAATGTGTGGGGAATTAATTCTGCTCCAGGTTCATGAACCTGCCAGTCCCCACCCCGTATCCTGGCGTTGTTCAGTCCCTAAGTCGTGTCCCAGCCTCTCGGAACCCATGGACTGCAGCACACCAGGCTCCCCTGTCCCCGGCTACCTCCCTGAGTTTGCTCAAATTTATGTCCAATTGAGTGGTGATGCCATCCAACCATCTCATCCTCTGCTGCCCCCTACTCCTCCTGTCCTCAATCTTTCCCAGCATCAGGGTCTTTTCCAATGAGCTGGCTCTTCACATCAAGTGGCCAAACCAAAGCTTTGACTCTACAGACCTTTGTTAACAAAGTGAGGTCTCTGCTTTTTAATATGTTGTCCACATCCTGTTAGGCTGCTCTGCATCTTTAAAGTCAGAGTGGAATTCAGGAATCACAGGAGGGACCTCTCCAGCATATATGTATCTCCCTGCAAATCAGTGGGTTCTCATTCCCCTCCATACCTCATAGAGTTACCACATGAAGCAAATAAAAACATAGTACAGTCTGTTAAATCTGAATTTCAGGTAAATAACTGAATGATCATCAGGTCGAGGGGTGTCCCAGGCAATATTAGAGACAGATTTTGACTAAAAGCATGATCCACTGTGTATTAGAAATTCAAGTTCACTGGGCGTCCTCCATCTTCTAGGATGCATTATTTCAGCTCTGGCATCTGGCTTCGGTGTCCCTTGGATGTGCCCTCATTCTCATGGGGTGTTTTGAGGATGTCTTTACTCTCTGGCACTGCAAGATGTCTAGGCTCATTTCGTAGTTTCCCTGCACAGAACATAGAATCAGCCATTTCTCCACGGTGCTGGGGCAGCTTTTAACACAGCTGTGTGAGTTTCCTATATTGAAACAAAGCACCACACATGTGGGGGCTTAAAGCAACACAAATTTATTCTCCCTAACAGTCCTGGAGGGCAAAAGTCCTCAAATTCACACGTGGGCAGCGCTGTCCCCTCCGGAGGCTCCTGGGGAGCACTGGCTCCCCCCTTTTCCAGCTTCTAGAGGGGCTACATCCCTGGTTTGTGGCCCCCTCCCTCCATCATCACAGCCAACAGTGCAAATCTTCCATATCTCTGCCTCTGACCCTCCCCCTCCCTCTTATAAGGACCCTGTGATGACACTGGGCTCCCCCTGGGGAATCCAGGGTTGTCCGCATCTCAGGGGCTTTAATCCCACCTGCAGAGTCCCCTCTGCCACATGAGGTGACACGCGGACAGGCCCTGGGATCAGGATGTGATGTCTTTGGGATTATTATGCTGCCGACTGCATCAGCCCACAGGTTTTCCCTCCCCCGTGGCTTTGTCACCTTGGGGCCACTCTGATCAGGACCTCCACTCCCTGTTACTCTCATCACAATCTCTGGGCACACTGGCCGTCCTGTTTCTCTGCTTTAAAAGAGTCTACATAGTAAACAGCTTCCCTAGATGCTATCTCAATTTAAATTAAAGCCAAACAACATTTAAGATTCAATCTCTTGATTGCACAAGTCATATTTCAGATGCTGGATCACCCATGTGGCTGATGGCTCCTGTACTGGTCGGTATAGGTCTACAACATTGCCATCATAACAAGATGCCCTATGGGACAATCCTGGACTGGAACATTCCAGAGAGATGTGGCCCACAGAGGAACCTCCGGCCACCTGGGGCTATTTACATTTAAATTCTCTTGGCCAAAGTCCAGTATGGGCTGGTGTGTATTTCTCCTTGTAAAGGGGAAGGTCCAAGGGTGAGGAAGACTGTGGCAAAAATGGGGACCCAATAAAAGTCCTGACACAGGTGGGAGAAATTAAAGGAGGAATTCCAAGGCCTGGCTCCAATTCACCTTTTCAACTCGTCTCCCATTATTCTCACCTGTCCCTCTGATCAACCACTCTATGTTCCCTGGATGTGTCCTGGGATCTCATCACCTCTAAACCTTTGCCATGCTATCTGCACCTGACTGTGCCATCCAGTCAGTCCCTCAATCTAGCCTACCTACCGTATCAGTTTCCCAGGGTGGCTTTAAAAAATTACCTTAAAGTGGGCGGGTTAAGACAATAGGTATATGTTCTTCCTGTTCTGGGAGGCCAGAAGTCAGGGATCAAGGTGTGGCAGGACCGTGATTCCTCTGAAGACTCCAGGGCGGGTGGTGGGCGGTCCTTCCTGCCTCTTCCAGCTTCTGGGGACTCCAGGCGTCCTGGGCTTGTGATTGCATCAACCCCTGTCTCACCTCCAGTGTCACACAGTTTCTTCCCCCATGTCTGTGATCCCGCTGTGTCTCTTATAAAGATATTAGATTTAGGGCCACCCTTATGCAGGATGAAGGTTTTTCTGATAGCTCAGAGGGTAAAGAATTGATCTGTGATGCAGGAGACACGGGTTCGATCCCTGGGTTGGGAAGATTCCCCTGGAGGAGGAAATGGCAACCCACTCCAGTATTCTTGCCTGGAGAATCCCATGGACAGAGGAGCCTCCAGAGTCACACAGTTTCTCCCCTCGTCTGTGACTCCTGCTCTCTTATAAGGACACTCTTACAGGGCCACCCTGATGCAGTATGATCTCAAGATTCTTGACTATAGCTGCAAAGACAGGTCTGTGAGCTCCCACACATAGGTTCCAGGGTCTGTATCTTTTGGGGGCCATGTACCAATGCACTCCAAGACTGGAGCCTCACCAGTGCCAGGAGTGTGGACCTAGGTGTTTCCCCATTTACAGATGGGGACATTCCAGCAGGACTGGACTGGAACCCTGGGTGCACAGGGTCTGTCCTGAGACCCACCTGGGTTCCACAGCCTGGGGTGACTAATCCCAACCAGAGGGTCTGAGGTGGCCGCCATGTGCTCTTGGGGGTGCCCTGTCCATCTCTGGCTGCTTCCTCTCTGTCCCTGTTGCCCCTTCAGATGCTCCTGTCATCCCAAACTCTCAGCCTTCCCCTGAAAGCCCTCCAGGCTGCTCTGTTCTCCAGGTTCCTCAACACCTGTTCCCCGAGCCAGCAGCCTGTGGTCGCCTGGCCCCTGGTCTTGTCCCTGGAGCAGTCCTGGGCCCCTCTCTGTCAGCACATCCCATCCTCAACTCACTCCACAGCTTCCTCCCACCTCTGGAGCTCTGGTGGCCCCTGCCAGCTGCCCACAGTCCAATCTGTGGTCCCCCAGTCCTCGCTTCTGGGCCAGTCCCAGTCCTGAGGAACCATGTCTGGTAGCCCTACACCCCATAGTCCTCTGCTCCCAACTAGAAGATGCCTGGGGGACAACACCTGAGGCTTATCACTCAGATGTTCCTCAGGTCCAGGAGACCTCAGGACCCCTCCCAGGAGGAAGATCTGCTCCTCCTTTTTACAATGTCATCCTGCTGGGCATGGGAGTGCCACGGCGGCAGGCAGGTGCCCCAGGAAGCAACCAATATCACCACTCCCCCACATGGCTCACAGCTGTCCCCATGGTTGGTTGTCCCCTAGGATGTGGGGTCCTGAGGATAAGAGGACCTGGCTGGACCACCTCTCTGTAGAGGCCCGATAAGATGCCAACAGCACCTGGCTTGTGGAAAAGCCTAGACGTGGAATATCCTGAGCCCTAACGCTTTGACCTTGAACGAAGACTAGGTGGGTGGGGCTGGATCTGAGCCCCCACCCCCATCCCTCCCCCATGCCCACCCACTCCACACCAGGCCAAGGTCTCATGTGTAGTAAAAAGACTTTATTAAGAAGGCTTTGAAGTCAAAAAATAAAACTCTTGATACAATTTTCTGAACCCTTAGGTCAGCTCAGCAAATATATAATCAGTAATTTAGCTGTGTAAGATTAAAGGTCCGTTACTTTATTTAAAATAAAATATATTTAGTCTTAAAATTTATTCCATAAAGTACATATTTCCCTATAAATTCCCTACATATACACAAGAGGTAAAAAGTAAAAGTTTTTTTTTCTTTTTTAAAAACAACAAAAATTAAAAACTGTCAACAGAAACCACAGCAGAAAGGGATTAATAATTAAAAAAAAGTTAGAAAGTTCTGGGCGCCCCTCGCCCCCCACCCCCCCACCCCCCTCCGGCCTGCACGCCGCTTACAGGGTAACCATATGATCCCCCCAAAGGGAGCCATCCTCCTCCTGGAAGTTTCTGCAGAGGTTGAGACCGTGGGAAAACAAACACTGTCAAATTGATATCCGCTACATACAAAAGAAGTATACCCCAGAGTTGTAAAAATCGTGTTTTGTTTTTTCTTCTTAAAAAGATCACCTTGGGCTGGGGGCGGGGGGTGGGAGTAGGGGGTAGGGAGTGTCTTAAATAAAAAGTGCAAGCAGGCAAGCAGGCCTTTTCTCTCTGGTTTATTTTAACCTGTCGACTCAATACTGTCATTTGTTAAGAACTGAGGTGCCGCTTGGCCGCGTAGTCTCCACGCCTGGGACCGGAAGAGTTAAAGCTCATCTGTAAACACTGGCCACGCAGCCCGCCGCCCCGCCCCCTTCCTCCCCTCCAGGCCCTGCGCACCCACCCTGCGCCCACTGATGGCCCCGGGGGTGGGACCGCGGGCTCGCGAGGGGCCCAGCTAGGAAAAGATATGAATGGCCTGGGTGGCGGGTGTGCGGCAGGCCGGGCACTCTGGCTCGCTCTTGCCGCAAATGCGGACGGCGCAGTCCATGCAGAAGAGGTTGTGGCCGCAGGGCACCAGCGCAGCCATCACCTCACCCTCGGCGCACACCACGCACTCCCGCGCCAGGGCCGCAGGCGCTGGGGCCGCTGGGGGCTTACGGCCGCTCTCGGGGGCGCTGGAATCCAGCGCCGAGCACGAGGAGGCCGAGGAGCTGCTGGGCAGCGAGGTGGCTGTGGAGAAGCTGGCGCTGCTTGAGAAGGACGTCAGGGAGCCCTGTGGGGGCCGCCAGGGCAGGGCGCCCACTGGGTCCGGTGTAGGCCGGCGGGCCAGCGGGAGCTCCAGGCCCAGGCCACCGGGCTCGGGCAGCGTGGGTGAGTGGCGTGGTGTGCCGGTCCCGCTGCTGCGTCGGGCACCTGGGGCTGGTGGCGCAGGGGCCCCATTGACCGCCGAGCAGCCGCCGAAGGCCGGCAGCGGGGTGGCCCGCTCGAAAGGCGCCCAGATGGTGGTCGCGGTGGGCACGGTCAGGTCCAGCGCCAGGAAGTCGAAGCCAAAGTCGCAGTCCTCGGGGGCGGGTGGCCCCGTGGGGGCCCCGGGACCGTCCCCGCCGAAGGTGAAGCCCCCGTTGCCAGAAGTGCTGTAGGGACTGGCGGGGCCAGCGTCTGGCACCGGCACAGGCACCGGCGGTCCCCCGCGGCTGCCCGCGTAGAAGGACTCAGGGCCTCCTGGGGCGCCCAGCGCAGTGTCCCCACGGAGGCTGGCTGGGGGCCGTCGGCCTGGGTTGGGGGCTTTGGCCCAGAGGCCCGCGGCCGCCCCCAGCAGGTCCAAGCAGACATCTGTGCCGTTGGAGTGGAAGTCGCTGTCGGGGCTGGCGTCGGTGAAGGCCCCCGTGCGCAATGTGATATGGGCCTCGATCTCCTCACGTGCCCGGTCCACGTTCTCGGGCATGCCGGTCACGGCAAACACCGGCTCCTTGTCGCGCCCGGGCGTCACGATGTACGTATGCGTCCGTTGCTGGATGCGCTTGATGGTGGCGCCCTTAGGCCCCACCACCAGCCCCACCACGCGGTAGGGCACGCGCACCTGGATAGTGGTCTGTCCGGGCAGGTTGGGTGGGCCCTGCGCGGTACCCGGCAGCCCGCCTGCCTTGCTCCGCGTGGCCCGGATCACGGAGAAGTGCTCGGCGGCCGACAGGATCTCACGCTTGGCCATCTCCACGTCCTCCTTGCGGCCAGTCACGATAAAGACCGGCTCCTCCCCTCGCACCGGAGTCTTGATGTATGTATTCGTCTTGGCTCGCAGAGCCTTGATCTTGCACCCTGGGGGTGGAGGGGGAGACACTGTGAGGGCGTGGACCCCTCCCCCGGAGAGCCCCCCCAGGGCCACAGCTGCATGAGACAGCCGGTGACCTGGGTGGGAAGGACCCCACCTTCCAGCTGTAACATCAGACTGCGCTCTACATGTCCTTTCTCCTCTATAGAGACACTAGTCACTGGATTCAGGGCCACCCCAACCCATCATGACCGCACTCTTAACTACATCTGCCAAGACTCTTGCCCAGTAAGGTCACATTCTGACATTCCAGGTGGACATGGATTTGGGGGGGACACCTTTCAACCTACAATAGGGCCTCTCTTTGCCTTTTTGACAACCCCCCCTCCTATGGGGCAGGGATTTGTAGGACCAGAGGGGACACTGAGGTACAAGGATGGAGGGAGGGACACAGAGTGTCCCTGAGAGTACAGCCATGTGAAAACAGAGCCCAGGGCTGGAGGGAGGTGGCCACAAGCCCCAGGACACCAAAGCTCGTGAGCACCACTGGAAGCCAGGAGGCCAGAGAAGACCCTCTCCTGGAACCTCTGGAAGAAGCATGCCCCCCGCCGACACCCCGATTTCAGATTCCCACCCTGCAGAACTGTGAGCATTCAGTTCTAGTTTCAAGCCATTTGGTCCACTGTACCGGACAGAGGATACTAACAGACTCTCTGACACCAAGTCCCAGACTGCCTGGAGGGGAACCCGAGGCCTGGGTGGTGGGAACTTCTGATCACATGACCCTCCCCCAACAGCAGATCCTGTGCCCCAGGTCAAAACACCTCCACAGGCCTCCAGTGGTCCCAGCCACTGAGGGGAAGCTGGGGATATGCCCTGGGGGTTCATCACTGCTGTCCAGGTGGGCTGAGGGTTGACCCTGCAGAAAAGGGCCGGGATATCTGTTGAGGAGGGTCAGTCATGCAGGGTCCTTGACTTGGCACCTCACCCAGCATCTAGGCAGCCCTCCCAGGGCTAAGGGGAAGCCACCCACGAGAAATCTAAATGCCAGGTGTGGTTTCACCAGGCCCCTGACACCCCATCCCGACTCCAGGGCCTTCTGAAACATTTTGAACTGGGGCCCAGGAGACTGGGAGACCCCCCACCCTCTAAGCACTGGGAAGCCAGAAGGACACAGGAATATATTGTTTCCATGCGCACAGAGGGCGGCTCTGAGTGGAGTTAACAGTGTGGCTAAGTTCTCAACAAGAAAAGATACAAAGTTAGCCGGCAAGCCTTCTGTGCTGATGAAGTCAGACTGATGGAGCCTGGTCCCAGGCAGGTGCCCCTCACCCACAGCTGAATAAAAGCAGGGCAGGTGAGCAGGCGTCTGCCATCTCTCAGCCTTGTCTCCTGGTCCCTGGCCATTCCCTCCATGCCCACCTGGGGTCTTCCCCTTGATGGCTGCCCAGCCTTTCTGGCAACTCCAAAAGCACCCTGACCCGTGGCTGCCTCCATGCCTGCCCTGATGTCTCCTCCCTACTTGGCAGCTGGGAAGGGCCTGTCCTACAGTCCCCTTGCACCTGACCTTTCCCATCCGCAACGTTACTCTCATATCCTCTTCCTTCTTTGCATCACATCACAGCCTGGCATGCCGTCCTCCGGGGAAGCCCATCCTGACTATAGTGGGCCAGGCCCCAGTACACACTTCTCAGATCTTATGTCTAACTTTCTAAACTCTCTGAGGCTGGAGGACTGTGATGTAAGGCTGATGCACTGGGGATACCCTGGGCATGTGAGAGACCATTCCATGCCTCGATTTCCTCATCTGTCAAAAGAGAGCAGAAACAGACCCAGCCTCACAGGTTTGGGACAGGATCTGATGGGCCAGGGACTGGAGCCTGCCCTTGTGGGGGAGCCTCAAGGGGGGTCGAACCCTGCAGCTTCCTGTTCACGGGATCCCATCCTGTCCTGACCTGAGAGCAGCCTTGGGTGGAGCCCTCAGTGGCCAAACAGAGCCCAGCTCACCACCCCCACTTCAGCTGTGACAGCCACTGGTCCCCCAACCCCACCTACACTAAGACCCCTAGAGGTGGCAGAGCTTGGGGGCGTGGGACCGGGGCTCCAGGAGTGACCCTGGGGCCACTGCCAATTGGTGGGCACAGCAGAAATGCAGCTTCCTGGGCCCTGCCCCAACCAGGATTCCAACTCAGAGAACCGCAGAGGGCGGGTGACTTCCCCTGGCCCCAGCAAGCCCCATAGCTGCCAGACTGGCCCTCAGAGAGGCAGGGCCTCGGGTCCCCACAGGCAGCCTAGTTGCAGGCAGTCCTGCTTCCTGCTGCTCACATGAGCCTGGACCAGGATCCAGGCCACCCCTGCACTGAGTGCAGTAGGCATTCAAGGGAGCAGGCCCCAAGGGAGCCCATGCAGGTGACCACAGACCACACTTATCCAGGGAACCTCAAGGCCACGTGGGGGAGCCAAGGGCACCACCCCGGGAAGGAGGCTGCGCGCTGGGGGAGCACTCCTGGCTAAGGGGACAGTGGGGGCAGCGTTTCACAAGCAGGCGGGTGCTGGGACAACCCAGCGGGGTGCTGTCCCAGAGCAAGGCTGAGTCACAGTTGGATGTCTGGGCTCCCGTGTGAAATAGGGACCCGTTGTGCAAGCAGGGAAGGCTGCGACCTCCAACCTGGGCCTGGGGATGGCTCTCTTCCTATGCTCCCCACTCTGGGTGGGTAGATAAGAACATCAAGGAATGGCCCCCCATCACCCTAGGACCATCCCACAGGGATGGGGCCACACACAGGCAGAGAATAGCAAGCAGAGGCCCTTCTCACCGAGGGACAATGGAGGGGACCCCAGGAGGCTGGCAGGTCACTTTTTCCTGACTGTGACCTGGTGTGCTGCAGGCCAGGCCTGGTGCTGAAGACCCAACCCCAACACCCCAGTCATGGCCACAGTGCAGACTCTGGCAAGGGGAGCCAGGCAGGAGGGCACTGGGGTGGATGGGGGCGGGTCTTGGAAGGAACTAGGCCAAGGTCAATGGCAGCAGATGTGTGCCATCACTGCCCACTTCTGATGATGGGCTGGGGTGACACCCCCCAACTGGTCCTTCTGAGTTCCCACTTTCTTGTTTGTGGAAAGGGGTCAGCTCCTGATACACCCAACCCTGGAACTAGTTCTCTCCCAGCTCACCTTTTCTCCCCGCAGTGCAAAAAGAGCCCGAGAGACTAGAGTGCAAATTCCGGTCCTACCAGCTGGCTCTGGCTGCACTTCCACTTCTGCCACTTTACCCTCCTGGCCTGGAGGTGGTAGGTCCTCAATAGGGGATACCATGGGGCAGGCTGAGGCCCCCACTCCGTGGGTCCTCTCAGTCCCTCAGGCCTCTCAGCCTCAGAGACCAGGGAGCACCCAGGGGTCACGGTCCCTACCCCTTGCCCAGAAGGTGCACAGACCTAGGGGGGAGAAGACTAAGGCTCACGGAGCAGCATGGGGTTGTCCAGGAAAGGGAGAGCCCAAGTCTGTGGCTCTGGTTGCCAGAGGAGGCTGGACAGATGCACACCCCCTCCATGAACTCCAGGGAAGGGGCGGCCTTGCACCAGGGGTCAGACAAAGGAGTAAGTTCAGGGAAGGCCACGACCCCTGCACTCGAGCCAGCAGAGCAGGAAAAAGGGACAGGCACCGTGTTCAGGGACCCACAGGGCAGACGGGGCGGGGCGGTGGACTGTGACCGGAGAAAGGGCGTAGTGTGTCTTCCAGGCTGTGCTTGGGAACTGGGGAGAGAAGACGGGGTCACAGACACTTCACGAGTGGGGAGCAAGGGCTGTTGAAGCTGCTGACCTGTCCTGGCATGCGTGCTCCACCCCGAGGCCCTACACCTGACTTATTACGGGGCGGCAACGGTGTGCTGGCAGGGACTGGGCGGAGAACCAGCATCTTGCTTGAGAATTTTCACAAAAACCCCCCAAAACCTCTCCCCCCACCCCCCATCACAGAGAGGAGCCACCCTAGATGTGGGGAGAGCTCTGGGGGTCCCTGCCTTGCTGCCTGCCATCAGTGGGAACCCAGGCGGACACCTGGTAAACGGGTATCAGAGGCACAAGAGACAGGGCGGAGCCTGACAACTCAGCCACCAGACCGCTCAGATGAGACCAGGGCTCAGGGCCCTCTGCCTGCTGCCCACACCCCCAGGTGCTGCTACGTGCATCCACGGGAGCTTGGCCTCATGCTTCACCATCCACGGATCAGCCTAGTGACCTTGGGTGGCATCCCTGGCCTCAGTCTCCACATCTGCCCCCAACGGGCTTCCGGACACTTGGTGTGGGGTGGCTGTCTTCTTCCAGGTCCCAGTGCGGTTACAGGGGACCGGGCAGGGAGGGGACAGCACAGGGAGGGGAAGTGTCCAGTTGGGGTCTCTTGGCACCTGCCCATAGCCAAGGACCCCGATGGCAGTCCTCCGACCTAGCACCACACCTGGCCGTCCGTGTGTCCACATGTAGGGTGGACAAATGAATGACTGAATGTACCTGCAGCTGAAGCAGCAGGCTTGCTGGCCCCAAGGCCCCACCCACCCGGAACTAGTAGAGGGTGGTGTCCAGGCATCCCTGTGGTCCTCTGCCCGTGGCAGTTAGGGTGACAGGTCATCTCACAACTCAAGCCCCCCACACCCTTCTCTAGCTCCCATGACAGGTCCCAGAGGCAGGGTCCCCCAACCCCATCTCAAGCCCCGCCCAGGCCCCACCCCAAGTTCTAGAACCTGGCTGACCAACAGCGAGGCCAAGCCCAGAGGTGCCGGAAAAAAAGTTGAGGCTGGTGGGCAGGCAGCTAACAGGGTGGGTGGGTGTGTGCTGGGCCGGGCACTGCCCACCACCCTCTGGCCCGCCCGCCCCGCAGCTCCAGGGCCAATGAGCGGCCGCCGGCCTGATGTCACCCAGCCTGGCTCTCTAACAAAGAGAACAATGGGGAGGCTGCAAAGACCTCAGGCAATGCTGCTTTGGGACCCCCACATCCTTGCCAGAGGAGAGCTGTGGGGCTGGATCCCCCCAAGTGGCTTTCACAGGGGGTCCTTGTGCACACCCCGGATCCCTGACTGGGGGCTGACAGCCGGGAGGGATACTCGCTCACCCTGTCCTGTTCCCCACCCCCAGCAGGGTGCCCAGGCTGGCAAGTCCTGAGGTGTACTCTCTTTGTGCCACCAAATCTCTCTCCTGACCCTGACAGAATGCCCTCGCCCCTAGCCCCCCTCACACGAGAGCGAACCCGCCCAGGGCCATTTCTGGGTGTGGAGAGGGCACTGCCCGGCCCGACCCCCTTGACCCCGGGATGGAACCTCCGGGGGCCCAGGCCCCAGGCAGCGAGGGGCACGCAGGGCGCTCTCCAGGCTGGAGGCACCTAGACAAAGGCGGCAGCGGGGCCGGAGCGCCGAGGGGAGGAGCGCGGGCCGCGCCCAACTTTCTCCCGCGGCCAGCGGCAGGACAAAGGCGCACAGGCGGCCACCGAGGCCCGAGCCCACGCGGGGCGTGGCCGGGGTCTGGTGTCCAGCCGTGGGCTGGGCTGGGCGGCCCCTCTGGGGGCGAGTTGCGCGGGAACCCCTGGGGCGGCGCCCCCGACGGCGGCCACTCACCCTGGCGACCCACGATCTCGGCGACGTGCTCGGAGCTGGGCACGGGCACACACTCGGTCATGTTCACGCTCTTCTTGCGGCTGCCGATCACGCTCATCTGCTCGGCCAGCAGCGTCGGGGGGCCCAGCGCCGCGGGGTGGGGCGCGAAGCCAGCGAACACGTCGGGCGGCGACGGTCGAGGCGGCGGCGGGGGGCTCACGTCCGGCTCCAGCAGCGGACCGGGGGCCACGGCCACCCCGGGCGCCCCCGTCTCAGGCCCGTCGGGGGGCGCCGGCTCCGCCGCGGCCCCGCCGTCTGCGCCCCCAGTCGCTGCACCCGCCCCGTCTCCGCCGCCTGCGGTCGCCCCCTCCTCGTCCTGATCGCCCGCGCCCCCCAGCCCCAGCCCCGAGAGCTGGTCCAAGGCCAGGCGCAGCGCGGCGGCCGCCTCGTCGGGCTCGGGCGGAGGCCGGGGCGCGGGCGCGGCCTCATCGGCGCCCTCGGGCGGGGGCGGCGGCGGTGGCGGCGGCCCCGGGCTGGGGTCCCCACAGACCGGCTCCCCGGGTCCGCCGCCGCGCGCGCCTCCGCCGCCGTCGGGCTGTCCGGTGGAGATAGGCATGGCGGCGCTAGCGCTCGGGCCCGCGCTCCCGCCTCCCGGCCGCCGGCCGCCCCCGCCGCCGCCGCCGCCCGCGCCGCCGCCCTCCGCCTCTGGGAGCTCGGCCGCCGGCCGCCGGCATCCAGCGGCGGGGCGGGGCGGCGGCGGGGCTGCTCGGGCGCGGGCGGCGGCGGCGCGGCGCGGCTCTGCTTGCTTCTCGGCGGCGGCGGCTAGTCGGCGGCGGCGGCGCGGACGCTCCTTCCCTCCGCCCTCCCGCCGCCTCCCTCGGGCCGCCGGCCGCCCCGCCCCGGCCCCGCCCCCGCCCCCGTGACGCGGCCTCCGCCAACAATGGGGCGCCGGGCAGGGCGCACGCGCGGGGCGGGCGGGGCGGTCACGTGGCGCGAACACCCCTGCCGCGGGCGCTCGGGCGGGCCGGGCTCGCTGGCACGTGCGGGCGCGGCCGCAGGTAGGTGCCCGCGGCGGCCCGGGCCCAGGGTGCGCGAGGGCGTCTGGCCTCATCCTCGCCTCTGCGCCGGGGTCCCGGGCTCCCCACTCCGAGACCCCTAGCGTCTCGGCCGGGCTGTGTACTCCAGCCCCTTTCCTCCCCGTGCACACCTGGCCTCTGGGCAGCCCCGGGAGGTCACGGGCACCCACATCCCCTAAGTGGTGGTGTTTCCGGGCTTGGGCTAGTTTCCACAGGCCAGAGCCCTCGGACGTGAGCGCCGCTGGGTAAGAGAGCGGCCCCGCGTGCCCACGCCTAAATCCATCCGGTCCTAGTGGCCTCCATCGGCCCTTCAGGGCCTTCTTTTTGCCTTTGGGGCGAAAGAGCCTTCCGGTTTCCCTTTACAGGTAAATAGATGGGCTGGGAGGAGGATTGGCCCGCCGAGTCGCCAAGGGACCTTGGCCCCAGTCCCTGGCTGGACGGAACCTCAGGACAGTTGCATGGGCTCTTTGGGTGGGAGAGGGGACGGCTTGCCCCTTTGCCCAACACTGGTCTGTCTCTCCCTTGGGTCTGCTGTCATCCTCACCGGACTTGGGTTCCTGCCCCGAATTCCATGGAGTCCCTCAGCCATAGCTGCTCCCATGACTAGATGTCCTTCACCTGGTCTCTTCTCTTCATGGACTCTTGTCTCTCCTGGCAGGTGCCCCCTGCCTCTTGAAGTCCTCAGCTCCCTGCCTTCTCCTCATGCCTTTCCTGACCCCAGGCTGCATTCCACCCAGTTTCTCTCTTGGGGTCTGAGAGGAACTTTTTTCCTTTTCTGTGTTTGAATGCTCTCAGGTATTGATTACTTCATCCTGACTTATGTCTGTCCCTTCCCTCCTAGTACTGGGCTCCTGGAGGCAGGCACTGGAGCTACAGAACTGCTGGGCTCCCAGGAAGCACTCAGTGTGACCCCGGCACTCCCTCCCATGCCTCCCTCTGTTCCAGCCACAGGCTTTGTCCTGTTTCCTCACCCAAAGTTCTGCTGGCTGTAGCTGGTGTTCAGGGCACAGGGGGACCTGCCCTGGCCCACCTGGCCAGCCTCAAGTCCCCCTGGGGGCAGGGCTGGGGGGGCGGGGCTTGGTGCCTGCTCATCCTTCCCCCTTCCTGGGATCCCACCCAGGGTGGCATGCTGGATCCTGAGAAGGGGGCTCAGGTGGGGTGAGGAGAGGTCAGGAATGGAGGAGACAGTGTTGGAGCTGGGGCAAAGTGGTATCCAGCCCTTACTGGTGACAGATGGGGAACAGGCCAGAGTGGCTTGTCCTGGGTGCACCCCTGTGGGTGGTCGTGCATGCACATACGTGTTCTTCAGACAAGCTCAGACTGGTGAGAGTTAACAGCACAGTAGCAGGAGTTCACCATCAGCAGGAACTCTCCCAGAAAGTCAAGCAAAGAGACAAAAGGTGGGGGAAGAGAAAATAGAGGAAAGGGAAAGTGGACGTAAGTTGTCCAGGAAATAATGGAAGGGATAGTGGAACCAGAGCCTCCAAACAGCTAGGACCTCACAACTTGTTCTGGGGACTCAGGTGTCCTGGGGCCACCAAGGGCTTTCATGTCACATTCCAAAGAATCAGGAAGAAAGCCGAGCTTCCTGGGGAAAGTGATGACTGACCCCAAGGTCCCTATCAAGAGGGAGGAGGAATCAGGATGTTTCAGGCTGGCAGGTCATCACAGATTAGCTTAGTATACTGCAGGATGCACTCCAGCAAAACAAGTGAGTAAGTAAATGAAGAAACAGGTGCTGCCCCAGGAAGGTGAGTAATGTGGGGCTGGATGATCATCTGAGGGGTTTGACCGAGGCCACTGAGGGTGTGAGGGGAACCGATCATCAGAAGCAAAGACTGTGATTTTAAAAGAAGGCTGTCAGGCAAAAAAATGGACAATAATGAAGAGAGAAGGGGGGAATGGGGACTCTGGGACCTTGATTTCAATGTGCAGTTGGAGACACCTGAACAATGACCTGTTGTACGTACATGTGGATTTGTTCACGATGGCCCTGTGGTGATGTGCTTTAAAAGTCCTTTTAATAAAATAAAAATTAAAGAGATCTACAGTAAAAATAAAAGTCCTTGTAGAATTGCAAACCACCAATCTCTTAAGTGATTTTCATGCTGAAGTATTTAGGGGCAGGGGGTGGTCTCGCCTTCAAAATGTATCAGAAATAAGATGAAGGGAGGGATGGACAGAAAGGTGGATGGGGGTTGGGGGAAGCTACAAATTAAATGGCAGTCCTGGACCCCTGAGCAGGGTACTCCCCTTGGCACTGTGGACATTTGTGGCTGGGTCTTTCTTGATGGCTCAGAGGTAAAGAATCCACCTGCCAATGCAGATGTGGGTTTGATCTGTGGGTGGGGAAGATCTCCTGGAGGAGATAGCAACCCATCCCAATATTTTTGCTTGGGAAATTGCATGGACAGAGAATCCTGGAGGGCTATAGTCCATGGGGTCGCAAAGAGTTGAACATGACTGAGCAACTAACCAACAACATCCTCAGGGCATGGGGTGCGCTGTGGGGTATGGAGCACTCTTCCTGGCCCTACCCACTTTATGCCTGGAGTCACCTCTACTCCCTGGAGTAGTTTTCTGTGGTGCCATCTCTCCAGCTTCCACCCGTGAATCATGGTGTTCATCTCCCTGTGTGGCTGTGTCCTCACTTTTTATGAGGGCACCAGGCCTTGGTTCAGGGTCACTCTACTCTGTGCGACCTCATCTTAATAGTGACATCTGCCAAAGATCCTGTTTCCACACAAGGTGCTGATCACAGATTTAGGGGCTGGGATCCAGATCTTTTGGGGGGACAGTGCGATGCACCAGACCTCCCTGGGTGCAGAATCACCAAGCAGAGAACCGCTACCCGCCACCCCCCCCCCCCACGCATCTGGCATGGAGGGCCTGGATGGTCACTTAAAATGCTCTCAACCCTGTTCTTACAGTCTAGTAAAACATCAGAATATACTGTTGCAAAGGGTCCCTGATGTGTCGGCTGACACCCAAATTGGTGAGGATGAGTTTTTCTACTCAGTCTACTGAATCAAACGCTCATCTTTTCCAAAAACATCTGTATAGACACACCCAGAAATGTTTTACCAGCTATCTGGGTGCCCCTCAGCCTGGTCAAGTTGACCCCTAAAATTAACATCACGGTGTGGTTACATCTGGCTTCTCACTGACCAGCGTGTTCTCAGGGCCCATCCACACCCATGGTAGCAAGTGTCAGGGCTTCTCTGCTTTTTGTGGCCGAGTGACGCTCCTGTGTCTGGAGGAGCTGGGTTTTTGTATTCACCAGTGGATAGACACTTTGGCCATCATTAAAAAAAAAAATTATTTATGGCCATGCTGGCTCTTCACTGCTGCAAAGGCTTTTCTCTAGTTGCAGAGTGGTGGCTACTCTTTAGTTGTGATTCAGGGTTTCTCACTGTGGTGGCTTCTCTTGTGGAGCATGGGCTCCAGAACACGCCAAATTCAGTTCTGGTGCAGGGGCTTAGTTGCTGAGGCATGTGGCATCCTGATCCTGGATCAGGGATCAAACCCATGTCTTGCGCATTGGCAGAGGCATTCTTTACCACTGAGCGATCAGGAAAGCCCTGGCAGTCACTTTTTGAAAAGCCTTACCTGATCTTAGGGGTGTCACCCCCTGACTCCCCCAACCTGGGAATCAGCACCCCTATTTTGGGCAGTGTGAAGATGTTCTCTGTTACTCTGTCCAGTCATGGCCCCCAGTCCCATGTGGCCAGGGCAGCTGAGGAATGCGGTGCCTAAGTTGTCACCGATTTCTATATCCATGGCCACATGTGACTGGTGGGGGTCCCACTGCTTCCTCTGACCAGAAAGTCCCAAACTGTTGCCAGGCATCACTGTCCCAAGTCATCCCCAGCCCATGAACCTGGGGGATCCTGAGGTGATGAGTTTCCAGGGCTTCTGTAACAACTGTTTATCCCTTGAAGGGACAGCAGCGGCAAAGCCCAAGAGGCTACAGTGAGCTGGGGGAAGCTGAGTTTGCAGGGGCCTGGCCACATGGCCAGGCAGAAGCTGCCTCCACTGAACAGGAAACTTATCTTCAGGGTAATGTCCCCCAAAGTCACCCTGGGGCCTGTGGACACATTACCTCACAGGGCAGAGAAAACTTTGCAGGAGGGATTAAGCTAAGGCCCCTGAGATGGGGATGACTGTGGATTCCCTGGGGGTCCCAGTGTCATCACAGGGTCCTTATAAGAAGGGGGCAGGAGATGCTGCACCGCTGTGAGGATGGAGGGAGGGAGGGGCTGCAAGCCGGGGACGTGGCACCTCTAAGAGCTGGAAAAGGCAGGAGCCGGTGCTCCCCTGGAGTCTCTGGTGGGACTAGCCCTGCCCACGCCTATAAGGGCCACAGAGTAGGACTGAGGAGGGCTCAGGCCACCAAAGCCTGACAAGCTGTGGACGCGGACAGCAGCTCTGAGGGTCCAGGCTAGGTGGCCGGGCAGCAGAGGAGCCGGGGTTCTCCCAGCTCCTGAGCCTGGCTTTGGCTCGGGAGAAAAGCCAGCCATGCACTCCACCAGGGGTGGAGGGGCTGCTGGAGTTGGGTGGGTGGGATCAGCTCTCTCACTCATACTGCTGGGGCCTGATCATCAGGAGACCCTGTTTAGGGCCATGGGGAAGCCACCCACCATCCTTCCCACTCTCTGGCCTGGGGAGATGATGAATTTGAGGGAGGCTCCCGGCACATGGACACAAAACCCCTGGATTTGGACTGACACAAAGCCCTAGGCCATACTCGCCTGACACGCTTTATTCGAAGCCACCCACAGAAGCCTCCTGGCTCCCCTCAGGGCTGCGGCGGAGGGGCCTTCCTGGGGCCTGTGGCTGCCTGGGCAGTGGTGCTGCAGCCTCCATGGGGCAGTGCCAGTCCTCAAGGCTGTGTGCTTTGACTGAATTTGGGAGGACCGGGTCAGCCAGCCTCCCGGGCTGGTGTCCTCAGAGGGAGCCGGCAGTGTGACCCGGCCCCCAGAGGTTCCCAAGGCCACCACCACCCCGCCAGCAGGCCACCACAGCCCAGGGAGTCCGGACAAATGAGGCAGTGACCCAGGCCTCTCCGGACAGTCATGGCCACAGGTGCGGCAGGCACGGGACAGGTCTGGCATTCACAAGCCACACTGGCCATGGCTCAAGCCTCCAGGCTGATGGATGGGCTGCGGCAAGGGTGCTGGCCGGGTTCCACTCAGGCAGCAGGGTCTCCCTTCGCCCAGGCCCTCCGGCTGTTGGGAGTGGGGCAACACGACTCTGCTCGCCTTGCTCTGTGGAGGCTGCCACGCAGGCTGGCAGGAAATGCACCTGGTGAGACCCAGGCTCAAGGGTGGCGCTACCCTGGAGCCTGGCCCGAGTCTAGCTGTGAGCAGTTCTCCATCCATGGTGCTGACCATTGGGCTAGGTCAGGTCGGAGACAGCGAGGTCTTCAGGTGCCGAGGCCCGAGTTCCCATCTGTGTGCAGCCAACAGAAGGTTCGCAGCAATGGAGACGTCTGGTCCCCGGGGGACCGTGAGTTTATTGCGGGTGCGCTGCGCCCGGCCGGTGGGCCTGGGGAGCCATCCTGCGCTGCCTCTGGGAGCACTGACATGGAGCCTGGGACATCACCCCTCACGGGCACAAGTCGGAGGTGAGACTGTTCCACACAGGTTTCTCCAGCACTGGGGAGCCTTGCAGGCAGCCTGGTGGCAGCTGTCCTGTGTGCGACGTGGAGCCACCACCTGAGCGGGGGCCTCCCTGCGGACGGGCCGGGCCCTTCAGAGAAGCAGATGTGGGGGGTCCGTCAGGCGAGGGGCCGTCCTTCAGCCAAGCTCCTGTGGCCCAGGGGAGGGGGCACGCCAGGGCAGGGTGAGGGCCGAGTCTGAGGTGGCCCCATGCGGGCAGGCTGGCAGGCGGGGCCCCTGCAGAGACAGATTGGGTGGCGTGAGTGCCTGGCCAGCCCAGCGCTGCCACCACAGGCACAAAAGGGCCCAGGCCTGGTGGCACCTGCTCTAGACATGCTCCATCTCCGGGTCCTGGTCAGGCTCCTCCTCCTCCTCCTCTTCGTCCTCCTCCTCGTCAGCGCCCGCCCTGTCCAATGGTGCATCACCGTCTCGGGCCAGCTCCTCCACGTGGGCCAGCATGTCGGCCATTAGTGCCTCCTCCAGCCGCTTGCGGACTTGCTGCACCAGCTCTTCCTGCTTCCTGGGGACACAGGGACCCAGTGGCCAGGGTTTCCTGGTCTCAGACAGACCCCAGCCCCACACTGTCCCACCTACAACTGCTGTTGCCCCTCCCCAAACTAGCTCTGCCAAGTGGGCCCCAGTCAACCTGGGCCCTCCCTGCCTCCTCCACACCTGCCCCCTCTCTACGTGGACAAGACTTTCTACCATTACCAGCCCATCCTCGGTGCCCCCACACTGATGGCCAAGAGCGCCCCCTCCAGGCAAGACTAAGGCCACAGTCCCACCTGGGCCCTGTGGTCCCCACCTTGCTGACTCTATTTCTCCAAGTGGTGCTTTAAACGTCACCCAGACTCTCACACAGTTGCGTCTTGACCTATCACTTCTGTCACCTCCTGCCCACTCCATGTGACACCTGTGTGTGTGTGGTCTAAGCGGGGTCCTCACCTCTCACGGGGCTCCCCTCTCGCCAACCCCCAGCACTCCAGGTGCAGCTGCTCTGCTGTGCAGTTTCCTGCCCACCCCCCACCCAGGGCCCCTTGAGGGGCTCATAGTCCAGCACAGAGAAGCTACTGCATGGCCAAGAGGCCTGGTCTCTCTGGAGCACACAGCCTGTGGGGAAGGAGGAGGAAGGGGCAACTACCTGATGTCCTCATCAGTCACCATAAAGGCCTTGCAGAGTGGCTGGGCTGTGTTGAGCCACACCCCCGGGTTCTTCTCCACAGCAGCTGAGAGCTGCCCGGTGATGGGCGTGGTGCTCGTGTGCAGGGCACTGGCGATGGCCGACAGCAGTGTCTCATCTGTGCAGCCAGGACCCACTCCTGCTGGGCATGGGGGATGGTCACTAGCCTTGCCCCCTCAGCCCTTCTACAGGTTCGTCCCGAACCTCTCTCTGCGGGCGGGCAGCCCGCGGTGACACAGGAGCACAAGCTGCCCTTGCAGTGACAGCAGGGAAACCAGACCCCCAAGGCTTCTCAGGACCAGTGACTGTCCCGTCCCCAGGGTCAAGTGCACCCTGGCTGGCCCCAGGCTGGGGGAGCCAGAGCCTGTCCCTCCTGTCCCCTGCTCCCCCTGTGGCAGGTCACCTTGCAGACCCTTGGGGAGGTCCATGGTCTTCACCAGCTCCTCTGCGATGTCAAAGGCATTCAGGCCGCTCAGCTTCTTCTCCCAGAAGAGCTGCCACCAGACACATATCAGGCGAGGGGATTCCCAGGCCACCCGCCCCCACAGCAGGCAACACAGGGGCTAGGCTGGGGTCTCAGTGTGACCTCTGACCCCACACTTGCTGGGGCTGTTTGCACCCCAGGGCAGAGAAACCCCAACCCCGTTTCTGGCAGGATGAATACCCCAGACATCAGACTTGCTGCTGGTTGGTCTGTGGTTCCTTCACCCCGAGGTTGGAGGTCAGGAGGCCCAGTCTCCACCTGGGCTGAGCCACTGGCCTGAGGCCCTGGGCATGCAGTGAGCGCGCACCCTCACGGGCCTGAGGCCCTGGGCATGCAGTGACCGAGCACCCTTAGGCTTTACCTTGAGACCTGGGAAGGCTGTCTAAGGGGTGAAGACCTAAATGGCAGGGGGGGCACTCAGAGGTTTCTGACCTGTTACCCGGAGGGCTGCAGCCCACATGGCACCAAGGGCACTGCCCACAGTGGGACCCCTGCCCTGCGGGTCTCCCAAGCGTCTCCCCTGTGCTAGCCATGGCCTCCTGACCCGGGCCAGCACCCCCACACCTCGCTATCTACCAGACGTTTGTAAACACATGTGAAAATGTGATAAGTCTTGGTTTTTGGAAAACAATTCACAGCACTACATATGTGAAACATCATTGACCTGCTTGTGACAGTTGCAGCCCAGGATGCCCCTTGTGTGTGTGTGTGGGGGGTGGGGAGCCTGCTTCCCGTGGGACTGCACTCCACGATGATGGCTCCTGATCACAGTGCTGGGGGCCCTGGGCCCACCAACTGGGCTCTGAAGAGTGGATCGAGCTCCAGAGCCCACCTGACCCAGAGGCAGGCCTGCTGCCGCAAGCAATCAAGGTATGTGTGTGGGCTCACCTGCCGGGGCTGCTCCACAGCCTTCTGGGGGTCACTCTTCACCTTGTTGCTGGGATGGTTGGTGATCTTGGTCACTGGCTGCTTGAAGATGGATGCTGTTTGCCTGACTGGGAGGGCCGTGTTCAGGTCAGGCTTGCCCTGTGGAGATGGGATGGGGAGGTCCTCAGAGGGCCTTCTTGTCAGTGAGGAAGCTGTGCTTCAGGGCTTCAGGGTCCCCAGTGGACCCCCCAGCTCCCCTGAACCAGAGGCAATGCTATGCCCAGGCCTGGGCTGATGTGCTGCCCTTGGTGAGCTTGGTTGGAGGCTGTGGACACACACCTGCCCCCTCCTGCCTCATGGTCCCGTTCTCTGCAGAGCACAGGCCGGGCGCCCTTAGCCACCTCTGTCCTGCAATCAGGGCAGGGGACAAAGTCCCTGAACACTTGTTTATTGGAGACTTGTAGACACTCCAGGCGCCAGGTGCCCAAGCACAGACCACAGCTGGGCCTCCCCTGGGCAGGTGACGGGCGGGTCCTGATCTTTCTTCTGCTTTTCCATTGCCGCCGAGTCTCCCCCAAGGAGCAGACACGCATCTAACTCCAGGACGAGGGGGGGGAGGGTGGTGGTGGTGGGGTGAGCTCCCCGCCCCCCCACCGCCCCCAGCAGCAGCTCCCGCAGGCTCACCTTGACCTGGCTTGGGGAGTCGTAGCGCACCCGCTGCCGGCCCTTGTTCACCTTGCTCATTAGCATCTTGCCTGTGCGGAAGTCAAAGGTGCTCAAGTCCATGGAGCCACCCAGGTAGCGCGCCAGCTGAGGCTTGCTTCGGAACTTCTTCCCGCTTGGGCTGCGGACACAGAGGGGTCAGCGGAGGCCGGGCACCCACTCCCCCAGCACAGCAAATGCCAAGACCAAGAGCAGGGACAGACACCCCCGCCTATGGCAGGATGGGGCCAGCCCTGGGAGCCTGGCTGACATTTCTGGAACGTTCCGGAAGCAGACCATGTTGTTGGGACGTCTGAGCCCTGGCTGTGAGGCTCTGCACCCTGCACAGCCCGTGAACCAGGCCAGGCCTCGCCTCGCCTCGCCTCTGAGAGCTCACACTGCAGGTGACCAGCATGGGACCCTGCACCAGTAGTAAGGACTGGTCACTGGGGACAAGGACACGTGCAGCCACTTTGAGAGACAGTCCAGCAGTTCCTCTAATGGTTACAGAGCAAGTCCACCTCTAAGTATCCAAGAAGAACCATGACACACGTCCACAAAAACACTGACGCCTCGTCACTCACAGAAGCTGACTTACACTGGCCAAGGGAAATAGCCTGGATGTCCCCTGACCAGGGAACCTCACTCAGCCACGAAAATCCCAAGAACCAGTGAGTTGTACTCGTGAAGCCTCCAGCAGGCCTGGTACCCATCCAGAACACCCTTGCTGCTCTCCATCCTTGCCACTCTCCATCTGAGGCTGATGAGGGCTGCATTTTGTAGATCTCCCCTGAAGGCCTTTAGTCTGAGCTCATGCCAGCGCACACCTGCCCCCTCCAGGTGTCCCTGAGTACTGCAGACCAGCGACAAAAGCAGGCAGCACGGAACCCATGCTGAATATCAGCTGGGCAATGCCAGCTCTGCCCTCCACACTTCCCACCCCAGGGTTCCAAGGCCGCCAGGGACTCTTCTGGAAGATCCGCTTTTCCCTTACTCCCTGTGCTGGCTGACGTGAACAGAGTTCACGTCCTGACTCCAGCTTCATGGGCAGAGGCAGGACCTCGACAAGCCCTCGCCCTCACCCACTGCTGTCCTGCTCACACAAGGCCAGGGAAACAGAAACCCAGGCTGCAGATCTAGGGCTGGGGAGCAGGGCTATGGGGCAGAGGTAGTTGAGGTCTAGGGCTGTTTCTGGAAGAGCAGAAGGGTCTACCTCTGACCATGGTGATAGCTGGACTATGTGTGATCTGTATGCTTTACATGGGTGACTGTACACGTCTCCCACCTCAGTAAAGCTGTCACAATAGTGAAAGTGAGGCCAAGTAGGTGGGGGCTGCCAGCAGTTGGAGAGCTAATGGATCAGGTCTCTTCTGGGTGACAAGAACATTCCAGAACTATTGTGGTGATGGCTGCACCATGTGTGTGAATGTCCTAAAAACTGCTGATCTGGACACTTTTAAAAACTGAATTGTGCAAAACATGAACTATATATCCTTTTTAAAAACAGTTTTTGCAGGCTGGTATTGGGACATAAAGATGTCTGAGGTATTTTATCCAATGAAACAAAAAAAATCTTCTAGATTTGGTAAAACCTGACATACAGGACAAGAGTGGCCTTTCTATGGAACAAGGCCAGAACGGGCTGCTACCCCAGGGAGCAGATGGACAACCAGAAGCCAGATGGAGGGACCCCTGGGGTGCACTGGAGGAGGAAGCACTGGGGTGTTGTGGGGGTGGGAGCCAGTGCCCAGCGTGGACACAGGGCTGTGGGAGAGGTGAGGAGTGGGCAGCAACCCCAGGCCTATAAGGGGGCTTGTGACCCAAGATGCCTGGTGAGGCCTTAAGAGCAAGACACAGCTGGTTCCAGCCAAGCTGAGGTTGCTGTTCAGGGAAGGGGGCCGACCTGCTGAGCACCACCTGCTTCCCTAAGTGTATTCCCACCTTTAAAATGAGCTCTGAAAGTCCTCTCCGTTCCACTCACCCCAAAGAGTGATGCTAACTGCCAAGTCCTCAACTTCCTGCCTGGACTGTAAATGACATAGCCAGCTGCTTCATCCTCATCTCCCAGTCCTCAGGGCCCGGTTGCCAAGCTGGAGGCGGGTGTGTGTGTATAAGCCCTCCCCAAGTATGTGAGGTGACACCACCTCTCCTGCAAAGAACACACTGTCTCCCCACCACTCTGTGGACCAGGACACTGAGGGTTCATGTGCCTAGGGGCCAGGCTAGGATCCAAGGGCACCTATGTCTGCTATGTCCTGAGAGCTGCCTTCCCTCTGCGAGAAGAGTACCAGGGAAATCCACGTGCTCCTGCCTGGGCACTTGGCTCCACATCGGGGGCTGAGAAGGCCAAGGACCCATATCCCAGAGAACACTGAAGGTTTCCTATCACAGCCCCCAGACCTCCCACTTCCTGGGCCCAGGCAGATCACCCAGACCAGAGGCCTGGGAGAGGCACTGGACCCCACACCCCCATCCTGTCTCAGGCCCTCACCTCTCATGGGAGCTGCCCAGTCCCACTCTGGAGGCTTTCCCTACCACCAGATCCCAGTGCTCAGGACCAGGGCCTTGGAGTGGGATGCCACTGTCGGAGGCCCTGAGAGGCTCCCAGGTAGGGAGCAGGTGGGGACGAGACCTAAGATGATGGCAGTACGGGGCCCTTCAGCCACTCTGACCATGGTTCAGCTCCAGAGCCTCCTCACAGGCTCCTCCCACTGCCTGGACACTCCTCCTGGCTCCACGGCCTGGCTCAGCTCTGGACCACCTATCCAGACAAGCCCTCACTGACACACCCCCAGCTTGGCTAGGTACCCGTCATTCACCCCCACAGACCCCTGCATCTCTGCGTTATGTCATCACCTGTAACTATGAAAGCAACCGGGGCACTTGAGGACTGGGGCACCAGCTGTCACCCAGGAGAGGAGACCAAGGTCTCGTTCCCAGCTGAATGGCCAGCAGTTGTTACAGAGGTGTCTACTAAATTAACAATGGATTAGAGGCACAGAGACCTGCCTCAGTCTTTGGATCTAAAAGGAAGAAGCAAGCACACAAGTGTGCTTGGAATTACATGAGGGCACGTGGTTCCTAGCCAGAGGCCACTTCAGCCACCTGGGAGGACAGAACCAGGATTCAAGTTTTCTAAAGAGCCAGCCATGCAGTCGGATACAGTGAAGGGGAATGTACATACAGGTCCCTAAGAGATGCTTATCATAACCCCACTATCTCCTGCTTGACCTTTCAAGACGACAGCCAATCACAGTGTACACTGGAGGGCCACCAGCGCTTTTCCGACGCGAGATCCTGAGCCTGTCCCGGGCGAACTGCCATCCCTTTCCTGCTCACTTCCCTCACTCCTCCCAAAAGGCGACTAGCAAAGGCCCAGGACCTGCTGCACACTCCTCACCACCTGGCAGGCATTCAACACGTGGCAGGTGTCCTCCCTGCCTGCCTCCCTTTCGCCAGGGTCCTGAAGCAAAGGGGAGGGAGCCATCAAGGCCGGCTCAGAAACAACGCATCTTCACCAATCAGGAAAAAAAAGGAACAGAAAAGCAAACCGCAGGTGGTTGACGGTCTGGGGCTGGGCTTCCAGCCTCTTAAGGACTGTTTCACAGAGGTGTGGGTCCGTTCTACCTCACCCAGGCCAAAGGCAGGTCTCCCTCCAGTTTGGGTATGGAGGGTTCACAAAGGCTGCGTCCCCGCTCTGGCGACCGCAAGGGCCACTACCCACGGTGCCCAAGGACAGAAGGGCGGATCTTAAAAGACACGCAGTTTGGAGCCCAGTAGCCCTGGTAAGGGGCCAGGAACCTGCATCCCTAGGCAGCCCTCCCTGGTCCCCCAAAACCAATACTGCTTCCGGAAACCCTGGCTCCCCACCCGCCCAGGCTGCGCCCGGCCCGGGAGAGCCCCACGCGGACCAAAGGGACAGCCCAGCCCCCACCCCCGCCTCCCAGCGGCATCTGGCTCGAGCCGGGGTGCCCCTTGCCCAGACGGCCGCTTCGCTGCGGCCGCCGAACAAAGGCCTCCGCGCGCCCGGGACCGGTTCCAGGGCCATGAGGCCGCGTGGGAAGCGCAAGCGCACTGAGACAGGGCCTCGCCGGGCACGCACGCGCACCGGGCTCGGCCCAGCCGGGCACGCACGCGCAATGGGCAAAGCGCCCGCCGCGCGCCGGCACGCACGCACGCATGCACACACAACGCACGCGCGGGGCCCAGGCCGCGGCCCGGGTCCGGGCGCCCAGGCCGCCGCAGAGGCCGCTGGGAGGCGCCCGTTGGGGCCCTGCCCGGCCGGCACGTTCATTCACCTATAGTAAAAGACATCCCTGTGGCCGGCCGACAGCCCCGACCTTCTGGGCACTTCTTCCCTCTCCCAGCCCTGCGGGAGCGCCGGGCACTCCCACCTCTTCCGTTCCATCGCGCCCGGGTCCTCGGCCCGCTGCCGCCGCCGCTGCCGCCCGGACCCCCGCTCGCCGCCGCCGCCTTAGCTGCCTCCGCCGCTGCCGCCGCCACTTGCCGCGGCTGTTCCGGCCCTCAGGCCCCCACCCTCCGCCCCCAGCCGGGCGCGCGCCGGCTTTGCCGCCCTCTCGGCCCCCTCCCCGCGCTCGCCAGCCCCCGCTCGGGGGGCCCGCTCCGCCCACCCGCCCGCGCGCGGGGCCCCGTGCTGCGCAGGCGCCGCGCAGGCCCCGCCCGGACCGCGGCCTCCGGCCCCGCCCCTTAGCGGCGGCTCCAATCAGCGTGCGTCATGGAGGCGGGGCCTGCGGCGGCGCGCGGCTTGTCTGCTTTGCGCGTGCGCTTTGGGCGGTCCACGCGTTCCTCTTAGGGCAAGCTCCCCGCTGCTCTGCTGGAGTGGTCTTTTCCCCGAACCTCCTCCGCGGTCCCTCTGGTGTTTCGGGATGCCAGTCCAGTGCCGGATTGCCATCCTGCTGCTCCCCTAGTCTCGTCATTGGCATTCACGTCTAGGCGCATTGTAGGTGACCACCCACCTCCACAGCCCAAGGCCCACCCGAGGCTTTAATGACACCTCAGAACCGAGGCGCCAGCCCCTTCTTCCGCCTCCTCCTTGGTCCACCGCTTTCTGTTTCCGTGGGCTCTAGGACCTTCCTCGGAAATCTCCCGTCCTTCTTATGTCCCCTCACATTCCTCCTTATTGTCCTCCTCTGCTTCCCCAGGGCTGAACCTGGGCGGTCCAGGTTAGGTATTTCAGAAAAGACTTCAGAGTGAGTGGCCGAAGCTGTGGTCAGTGCCAGGAGTGAGCTGGGCCTCCCGTCAGGCTTTTCCGGGCTTCCGGCCCCTGGGGGATGGGAGGATGCGGGTGGGAAGGGTATGGGCTCCCCCGAGGGCAACCAGCTGGGTCCTCACAACCTCAACTCCCTGCAGGTGCAGCCCTGGGTCCCCCGGTCCCTACTCTGGTTGGAGGCGGGGCCTGGGCGGAACCCCAAAGATCGCGGCGGACAGGTGCCACTTGTTTATTTAAAGTCCTCGGGTAAGTGCAACTTACCGTCCCTTTCTCTTCTGGGTTCCCCAAGGCGGGTAACTGGGCTGTTCTCCCACAAACAAAGGGCAAGGTGGCCGGGCAGTCACCCTGATGGGCGAGCGGTCATCCCGTTACAAAGCTGGTTTCCAGCACTGGATGCTCGTGTGCAGTTCAGGCCCAAACCCAGGCCTCGAGGATCCTGGACTTCCAGGGAGGGCAGTGCTGGTCACTGTTGTATTTTCTCCCAGCGTGTGTGACTTCATTTTTCTTTTTAAAATCGTAGTTGCAAATATAGACACGTGCATTGTAATCCATGGAAGCACGGGTGAAGACACTTAAAGGAAAAAGTTGTTATCCTACCTGCCGCAGGAGCCCCCAGCCCTGCTTTTACTTCTCTTGGGTGCACATCAGCTGGAATTACTAGGTCACCTGGTGATCCTGTGTTCTTAATTTTTTGAGAAGGGCAAAAACATTGTTTTAAGCTTTTTATTTGTATACGATTTTCAAAGGTTACTTTGCTTTTGCAGTTATTACCAAATATTGGCTGTATTCCCCTTGTTGTGCAGTACATCTTTGAGCCTGTCTATACCCAACAGTTTGTACCTCCCACTCCCCCGCCGGTATATTGCTCCTGCCCCCACTGGCAACCACTAATTTGTTCTCTCTTTATATATGTGAGTCTGCTGCTTTTTAGTTATATTCACTAGTTTGCTGTATTTTTAGATTCCTCCAATGTGAGATAGCATACAGTAACTTTCTTCATCTGACTTAATTTTGTTATTTTTTTATGGCTGAGTAATATTCCATTGTATTGATATACACACAGAGACATCCATATATACCACATCTTCATTATCCATTCATCTGTCAATGGACATTTAGGTTGCTTACATGCCTTGGCTATTGTAAATAGCCAGAGCAGTAAATAGTGCTGCTCTGAACACTGCGGTGCTTGAATATTTTTGAATTACTATTTTTATTTTTGTTTTATTTTTTGATATATACCCAGGAGTGAAATTGCTGGATCTTATGGTAGTACTATTTTTAGTTTTCAGAGGAACCTCCCTGCTGTTCTCCAAAGTGGCCGCACCAATTTACATCCCTACCAACAAGGCAGTAGAATTCCCTTTTCTCCACATCCTCACCAGCATCCGTTATTATTGGTATACTTTTTGATGATAACCATTGTGACAGTTGTGAGGTGATACCTCATTGTGGTTTTGATTGGTGTTTCTGATGATTGATCATGCTGAGCATTTTTTCATGTGCCTATTGGCCCTTTGTTTAATTTTTGGAGGAGCCGCCAGGCTCTTGTCCACTGTGGCTGCACCTTTTCTGTTTCCCACCGGGAGTGAACAAAGGCTTTGATCTTTCCACACCTTCCAGTGTTAGTCTTAGGTCTTTGACAGTCACACCGACCTGTGTGTGGTGTCAGATCACAGCATCTGATATCAAGAACCAGCCCCGCCAGCCTCTTGCCTCTCAGGGAAGCTGACCCCAGAGCATTGATAGTGGGCCTGTGGGTGCTACTTGGCCCAAGCCAGGCCCCTGGGATTGTCTTTGAGGGACTGCCCCAGAGGCCTGACCAGGAGGGTGGCTGACCCAGGGTGCTGGTGGCAGATACAGAGGGGAAAGGCCAGGAACACTGCATGAGAGGGACAGAAGCTGGCCAACTCTTCTTTTGTTGGGTGGGCGCTGGCTCTTTGAAATGAACTCTGTTTGCCTTGGCCTACTGGCCCAGTCCCTAAGCAGATACCCTCTCCTGCCCATCACCATAAGGTGAAAGGCAGAAATCAAACCAGGAGGCTTAAACCACATGAGGACCTGAAAAGCTCCTACTATGGAGGGGCTGTCCCAGGCACTGTGGGGTATGGAGCAGCATCCCTGCCCCCCCGCCCCCGTCCTGACTTATGCCAGGAGCAGCCTCCAGTCATGACAGCTACAGACATCCCCAGCCAAGGGTTCCTACAAGCTGATAGAAGGTATGCGTGGCACTCACCTGAGGGAGAAAAGTTAGTGAGCACCAAAAACATCAAGATTAATGGTGCTTAATGTACTATTTTAACATTTCAAAGTGAAAAAATCCATGATGAACAAAATGTCAAAATTTTTTCCTGAAGTATAGTTGATTTATAGTGTTGTGTTTATGTTGCACAGCACAGTTACATGTTGTTATACTGCACACTCAGTTATATGTAGACATATTCTTTTTCATATTCTTTTCCATGATGGTTTATCACAGGATGTTGAATAGAGTTCTTTGCTATACAGTAGGATCTTGTTGTTTATACATCCTATATATAATAGTTTGCATCTGCTTGTCCCCAGAACTCCCAGCCCTTCCCTCCCCACTCCCTCTCCCCCTCAGCAACCACAAGTCTGTTCTCTATGTTTGGGAGTCTGTTTCAAAGATATGTTCATTTGTGTCATATTTTATATTCCACATACTAAGTGACATCATATGGTATTTGTCTTTCTTACTTTGCTTATTATGCTCATCTCTGGTTGCATCCATGTAACTGTGAGTGGTATTACTTCATTCTTTTTGATGACTAATGTTCCATTGTGTGTGTGTGTGTGTGTGTGTGTATCATGTCTTCTTTATCCATTCCTCTGTTGATGGACACCTAGATTGCTTCCATGTCTTGGCTGTTGTAAATAGTGCTGCTATGAATTTAGGATGCATATATCTTTTCAAATTATAGTTTTTGGTATATACCCAGGAGTGGGATTACTGGATTATATGGCAACTCTCTTTTTTTTGGCCACACTATGGGCTTGTGGGATTTTAGATCCCCAACCAGGGATCAGATTTGGGCCCTTGGTAGTGAAAACACAAGAGTCCTAACCACTGGACCACCAGGGAAGTCCCTATTTTTAGTTTTATAAGGAACCTCCATACTGTTTTCCATAGTGGCCACACCAATTTACAATCCCACTGACAGTGTAGGAGGGTTCTTGTTTCTTCACATCCTCTCCAGCATTTATTACCTGTAGACTTTTCTAGTGATGGCCATTCTGACTGGTGTGAGGTGGTACCTCACTGTGGTTGTGATTTTCATTTCTCTAATAACTAGTGATGTTGAACATCTTTTCATGTGCTTATTGGCCATCTTTGGAGGAATATCCATTTAGGACTTCTGCCTATTTTTCAATTGGATTGTTTCTTTTGTTATTGAATTGTAGGAAATGTTTATATACAAAATGTCAAAATTTTAAATAGATTGAACAGTGCTATTTTAAAGTCTGAGACAAAATGAAGAAGATATGCCTTTTATGTGTTTTTATATAGTTTTTGATGGTTTATTTTCCTCTCCCAGAATATTAAAGTGGTTGAAAAATTTAGCCTAAATATTGTACTTAATCCAAACCTGCATTTATTAGAATTTTACTTATTTGGCTCTCACAGGAGCAAACTCTGATATTTTCATTAAAACTATTAACCATGATGAAAATACATAAAAATTCATGTGTGGTGGGTTCACATTTCCTTTTGTCTCAGGCTTTGATGGGGGTCTATGCGACTGTCCACACCTGCAAGTTAGGAATTGTTAAGAAAAAAATTTTAAAAAAATTAAGTGTAAGAAAAAAAAAAAAAAAATTAAGTGTAACTTGTCTCACAGTCCATCACTTATAGGTACTTAAGTGACATCTATAAAACACAGAGATTTAGGTGAGGTCTGAAATCACATCACTCCACAGATAGTCATAATGGCAAATGACAGGAACAGAATGTCTCTCATTCTTCTCTCACAGCTCAGTTGGTAAAGAGTCTGCCTGCAATGCAGAAGATCCTGGATTGATTTCCTGGGTTGGGAAGATCCTCAGGAGAAGGGATAGACTACCCACTCCAGTATTCTTGGGCTTCTCTTGTGGCTCAGCTGGTAAAGAATCTGCCTGCAATGTGGGAAACCTGGGTTTGATTCCTGGGTTGGAAAGACCCCCTGGAGAAGGGAAAGGCTACCTACTCCAGTATTCTGGCCTAGAGAATTCCATGGACGGTATAGTCCATGGAGTCTCAAAGAGTCAGACATATTGAGCAACTTTCACTTTTCACTTCAGTAGACTGGTTGAGCTTCCCAGGTGGCGCTAGTGGTAAAGAACCCACCTGCCAATGCAGGAGACATGAGATGCAGGTTTGATCCCTGGGTTGGGAAGATCTCCTGGAGGAGTGCATGGCAACCCACTCCAGTATTCTTGCCTGGAAAATCCTCACGGACAAGGAGCCTGGTGGGCTACAGCCCCTGGGATCACAGAGTGGGACACCACAAAAGCAACTGAGTGTGCATGCAGTAGATGCGTTAATAAATGTTGGTACCAGGCAGCTGTTTAAAAACTGAGGATGCAGTGTGGGTTTTAATTGAAGTATAGTTGATTTATAATGTGGTAGTTTCAGGTATATAGCAAAGTGATTCAGTTATACACATGCATGTATATATTCTTTTTCATTATGGTTTATTATAAAGTGTTGAATATAGTTCCCTGTGCTATACAGTAGGTCCTTGTTTATTTCATATATAGTAGTGTGTGTATGTTAATCCCAAACTCTTAATTTATTCCTCTCTCCTGCCCTTTCTCTTTTAGTAACCATAAAGTTTGTTTTCAATGTCTGTGAGCCTTTCTTAATAAGTTTGTATCATTTTTTAAAGATTCCACATATAAGCAATATTATAGATTTGTATTTCTCTGTCTTGTTTATTTTACTTAGTATGAAAATCTCTAGGCCCATGCATGTTGCTGCAATACTTCATCCCTTTATGGCTGAGTAATATTCCATTGTATATATAGACCACACTACCCATTCATCTGTTGATGGACATGTAGGTTGCTTCCATGTCTTGGCTATTATGAATAGTACTGCTATGAGCATTGGGATCCATGCATCTTTTCAAGTGAGTGTTTTCATCTTTTCCAGATATATGCCCAGGAGTGGGACTGCAGGATCACATGTTAGTTCCACTTGTAGTTTCTTAAGGAACCTCTGTAACTGTTCTCCACTGTGGCTGAGCCAGTTCACATTCCCACCGTCAATGTGGGAGGGTTTTCTCCACACCTCTCCAGTAGCTATTATCTGTAGACTTTTTGATGATGAAGCTGGGTTCCTTCTGAAGCGCCCTGGCCTCCAGGAAATAAAGAGTAGGTGAAAAAGGCTGGTGCAGAAAAGTATGTAGCACATGCCACTCCTTGTGTTAAAATGTATGAAGTTGCTGTGGACTGAAAGTATGTGTCAGTATGTCTCCCTGAAATGTGTGTGTATACTGACACCCCAACCCCCCAGTGTGGCTGCATCTGCAGATGGGCTCCCAAGAATGCCATCAAGGTTAAATGAGGTCAAAAGGGTTCAGCCCTGATCCCCTAGAAGCAGTGTGTCTGAAGAGTCCCCAGAGAGCTCCCCTGCTCTCAGATCAAGGAAAATCCACATGAAGACCTGGTGAGGAGGCAGCCGAACCAGGAACAAAGCCTCCAGAAGCGAGCTCAGGCTGCAGCCTCCAGAACCAGGAGAGGTTCACTGCAGCCTTGGCGGCTGGGCCTCTGTTCTGTGGTGGCAGAGTCATGAGATGGCTGTTTTCACAGAGAGGATGTTTCTAGCCTCCTCCGGGGCTTGGCAGTCCATCCTCCTACACCTGCTCATGTTTGTATCTGTGCCTATACAGATGGGTTCTCAGGTGCCTCCCTTCAAGACACAGTCTCCCCCTGAACGAGATGTGGAAGAGATGGCCTGAGACTTCTGAGTGGCTTGTAAAAGTCAACTCCCCCAACCTCACTCACCATGTAGTAAGGAGGCTCAAGTCACACCTGAGAAGCCCACACGGGGAGGAGCCATGTGAGGGAACCTCGTGGAAGCCCCAATACCTGCCCACCCCCACCCCCAGCCATGAAGCTGATGCCTCTGCTGCAACTTTGTGAGGGACCCTCAGCCAGCACCCCTCAGACAGATCACTCTGAAACTCTCACTGTGAGGTAATGTTTGTCCTAAGCCACTAAGTCGAAGTAACGTGTTTAGGCAGCAAGAGATAAAAACACTATGCAGGTATCACCCACCACACATCTGAAATGATCAAACCATGTCTGCCAGCCCCTGGGAACCCCAGACCTGTGCAGTTCTGGTGCTGAAGGGATCCCGAGGTCACTGCACCCCAGCATGAGCACGTGCAGGCAGGCAGGTTTCAGAGTGAGGTTTAATGTTGTGTGTGTCCACACACGAAAGCTATTTCCACCAAAAGAGGAAATGAACTCGTGCCAGGGACTTCCTAGAGTCCATCCAGAGAGCCTGGGCAGTTCCAGATGCAGACGGCAGGAGGCAGTACAGCAGACACCTGGAGGGGGTACAGAGCAGGGTGAGCAGACGCTGCTGCCAGGCTCTAGCCCCAGACCTGGCCTTGCCACCTAGGAGTCTGAAACAGGGATGTACGCACACTCTGGACTGTCCTGTGGACAGCACAGTGAAGGGATTGTCAGCGCTCACGGTAGCACTCCCAGGGAGGCCAGTCTCCGCTTTCCCATCTGTGAGATGGGCATCCCTCCACCCCAACCAGGCCCAGGCAGGCTGAGGCTCCAGGATGGAGCCCCAAGGGGCCATGCCCACTCCATAGACCCAGGCTGCCATCCTGTAGCTCTGTACTACTGGGCAGGGGGCTTGTGCAGGGCCCTGCCCTCAGGTAGGGTTGTCCATGTGAGCTCCCCACACCTGTCGCCCCAGCCCTGGACCTGCAGGCAGTCCTGCTCCTCTGCTGCTCAGGGATCCCAGGCTACCCCCACTGACTGCTGCTGAAACTCACCAGAGGCCTGAGGTCATGAGTTTAGTCATCCTTCTTGAACTTGCCATTGATGTAGGGCACCCAGTCCAGAATCAGCCGCCAGTCAGTGGCCCATACCAGCCCCACGGCACCTACGGCGCCCCATATGCTTGCTGTGGGGACCCTGCAAGGACAGCAGGGGTCAGGCCTCAGCACCCCTCCCCGCCTTGCAGGGACGTGTGGCCCTGCCCCACATGTGGGCGGGACACATCCTGCTGATGACCCCGAGGCAAGGCCATTCCCATCTGCTTTCATATCAAGATCTGCTAAAGGTTTTAATTGAGGAATTCTGCTAAGAAAAGAAAAGCCCAATTCTAAGCTTGTAACTATAAGGATAGTAAAAGCTTGCAGGCAGGCACATGCCCCATCCCCGAGACAGCCAATGGACTGAGGTGAGAGTTGTCAGGGACCCGTCTTACTGATGAGACCATGGCACAGAGAGGGCAAGCCATGTCCCTGAGACACACAGCCCACCGGGTGCAGAGTCAAAGCAGGGGCTCCAAGACCACCACACCCCACATTTACATCCAGCAATGGGCATGGTCAAGGACGTCCCCAACAGTCCCACCTCCTGTCTTGTATACCCCTCCCTTTGAGTGTCAGCAGGACCGTCACACCCCTAATGAATATAATACGGAGGGGGGGGATTTAATTTTCTTAGGTTCCAAAATCACTGCGGATGGTGACTGCAGGCATGAAATGAAGACACTTGATCCTTGGAAGGAAAGCTATGACAAAACTAGACAGCATATTAAAAAGCAGAGCCCTCACTTTGCTGACAAAGGTCCATATAGTCAAACCTATGGTTTTTCCAGTAGTCATGTATGGATGTGAGCGTTAGACCAGAAAGAAGGCTGAATGCCGAAGAATTGATGCTTTTGAACTGTGGTACTAGAGAAGACTCTTGAGAGTCCCCTGGAATGCAAGGAGATCAAACCAGTCAATTCTAAAGGACATCAACCCTGAACATTCATTGGAAGGACTGACTCTGGCCATCTGATGTGAAGAGTTGACTCATTGGAAGAGAGCCTGATGCTGGGAAAGGTTGAAGGCAAAAGGAAAAGGGGGCAGCCAAGGATTAGATGGTTTCATCACCACCTCAATGGACATGAGTTTGATCAAACACCAGAAGACAGTGGAGAATAGAGGAGCCTGGGTGTGCTGCAGTCCATGGGGTTGCAAAGAGTTCATGACTTAGCGACTGAACAACAGAATCAGAGCCACGTGCCCTCGACCCCACCGTCCTGGCCACTTGCCTTGGGGCCTGTGGACGCTCACAGAGGGAGGTGGCAACGAACCTGACCTCCAAAGGGCACCCAAGATGATGCTGCTGAGAGTCCCTCAATGGGCCTTCCTTACACCCTCATCACCTCTCCTCCACTTTTTCAAAGGAAGACACCAGGGCTCTGAGAGGGGCTGAGTGCAGGATCCCCAGCTGGTGAGCATGTATGCTCCGAATCTGAGACACAACCGCACAGTGCCTCCTGGCGGTGAGTCCTGCTTCCCGGCCTCCGGAAGCCAGTGTAGAGTGCAAGGCTGCACCCATCCCCTTTAATATTTTACATCAATCTCATGTCATGGATCATACCGTTTTAGTTTTTTCTTGTCCAGGGACTACAGCGTCAGCCTGGAAGTTTCCGTTTATCGCTGTTTCTGGCACCCAACGCAGTGCTAGGTGAGAGAACACACTGGTGCTCAGTGGGTGCTGTCAACTGAATGAAACCCTGGATGAGGGTGTCGCTGCTCTGATCAAGGCAGACGGACAGAGAAACGGTGCCCGAGGGCTCGAGCTGCCCCAGGGGAGGGGCGGTAGGGGTCTCAGGTGGTCCCATCCGACGCCAGGGACCGCCTTTCGGCCTGAGTTGCCCCAATTGTAAAGCGCCACTGTCAACTGCCCACCCGAAGGTCCCTAGCAGCGCCGCCGTCCAGGGACAGTCCCCACTTGTCACTCTCCCTGGCAGAGCTCGAGGACACGACTGCCGAGTACAGGCCCCTGTTTCTCAGCGCCCCACGTTGTGGGTTCCCCAATCCCGCTGCCACGTGGGGCCACACCCATTCCACCCGTCTCCCAAGGGGAGCAGGGACAGATAGAGATGTCGGCCTCACAGCAACATCAGGCAGAAGCAAAGCCAGGAGCAGCACACAGGGTCAGTTTCCAGGCTCCAGGAGCTGAGCGGGGGCTCTGAGCGCGGACCGGGGGGGCACCATCGCGGTCCCCAGGTGGAGCGGGTCGGGGGCCCGCCACACGAGTGTGCGCGGGGAGACCACGCAGACGTTCCGTGCCTCAGTTTCCCCATCTGGGACCCGGAAGGACAAGGAGCTCGGGGGCGGGGGCTACGTCCTCACCAGTTTCTGGCCAGCTGGCGGTAGCGCGGGCCCAGGAACCTGGTCAGCATGGCGGCACCTTCCTTGCTCAGGGTGACCCCGGCCCTGCCGATTCGGGTGCACCGCGCAGGCGCGCTAGCCGCAGCGCGCAGGCCCGCAGGGAAGCCCCGCCCGGTCCCCTCCTGGGAGGGCTGACAGCGGGACCGTGAGACCGCCGCCGCTGCGCACGCAGATTCGCAAGATATTTACACTAACTTCCGGGAAAGGTCTGAAGAACTCAAACTGGAATGGGCGGGCCCAGGAGGCCGGGCCTTGTGATCACGTGATGCGCAAAGCAGGCTCGGCCTTTGGCTGTCAGAGCGTCCGGAAGGTGCGCAACCTGCAATCCGCGGCGTTTTGTGAGTTTGTGTCCCAGTTAGGTGCTAGAACTTTACTTTTAGTTAAAGAAACAGACCTGACGGGGAAGGGACTCGCCCAGAGTCGCACAGAGGGGAAGGGTGGCGATTTGATTGGAGGAGTTGGGCGTTGTCACTGGACTCGCTGCGTGTGACACCTTGGCCAGATGATAGTGCTTCCTCTAGTCTCGGTTTGCGGGCACTGAGTTGTGTGTTGCTCGGAGGCGGGTCCAAACTTGATTGCACGTTTCGTTTGGGAGATATTCCTCATTCCAGCAGCAGAGGGAGGCCTGGCTCCTTGCGCTGTGTGTATTCAGAAGACCACCTTTTAGCTGGTGAACCCAGGAGAGGTGAGTCCTCGTCATTCGGGGGCTCCAGCAGCGAATGTATGCTTGGAAATGCGGACTGGACACCGTGGAGTTTGTCTGGCCAGCCCAAGTCATCCTCCTGGGATCCTCCCTGGGCACCTCCTGAGACTCTAGCCTCAAACCTGCCCCTAGCCTCTGACCAAAGGGTTGGTTAGAGACCACGGTCTGGGCACAACGGATGTTCCTTGCTACTAAGTTGGACATAGATTCTCTGCCTTTCCAAATGCTGTAGGATTTCTTACGTTGGGATCAGAGAGGACCTGAAATAGGCTCTGTCCTTGATGGAAAACCTAAAAAGTGGGATGGAGGGGCCACCTTGAAGATTGTATAATCCGAGACAGAGATTAGAAGCCTGAAAAGATGAGCAGACGTGGGCATAGAGGCCTTGGGGCTGCAGGTCCTGGATCCAGCAGTTTCTGAAGCTCTGCCACGTTGCTCCTTGTGCTTAATGCACTTCAGCTCAGGGGGCAGAATGCTTTTTTATTTCAAGTGATAAACAAAAATCAGATTAAGAGGAAAGAAGTAAGGCATGTTGGGTGGCTTCAGGCTCAGCTGCATCCAGGAGTCTAGCAATATCATTACATGTTTTCTCTCCCATCTCTCAACTCCTACTTTCCTCTGTGTTGCCTATACTCTCTGGTGAACCCTCTCTGAGCAGAGGCACTCAGAAACTCCTGGTTGACATAGAACCTCTGGGTTGACATTCCAGCAGCCCTTATAGGAAGATAGCATCTCTTTCCCAATAATCTCAGAAAATGCCCCAAAGCTGGTCCTTACTAGCATGTTGTGGAAACAAGAGCCGGCCCCTCTCATTTGAGGATGTGGACTAAAATTGGAGGAGGATCCCCAAAATAGAATACTAGGATTCTGTGACCAGTGAGATGGTTGATAAGAATGTTGCCCCCCACCCCCACCCCCAGCTGCCCCTGGGTTCCATGTAGGATCCCCGTTTGGCCCTCAGGAAACCGAACTCTTTTCTCATGTTAAATTCACATTACATACAGTTAACCATTTTAAAGTGTAGAATTCAGTGGCCTTTAATATATGATTGTGTGCCCACCACCTCTAATTCCATAACATTATCACCCCCAAAGCAGTCCCATCTCCATCAGTATCCCCCCATCCTCCTTGCCCCCAGCGCTGACAACCAGGACCCCACTCTCTAGATCTGTCTGTTCTGGAAGTTTCCCATCAATGGAATCACATCCTGTGTGTCCTTCTGTGTCTTCTCTCACTGAGCATCGTGTTCTCAGGGTCTGTCCTTGTTGTACCAAGTGTCAGGGCTTCAGCCCTTTTCAGGACTGAGTGATGCTTCCACATGTGGAGGGACCACATTGTATGTATCCATCATCTGTTGGATTCTTTTAAAATTTTTTTACAACTTTACTGAGGTATGTTTGGGTCATATATACACTTAAAACATACAACTTGGACCTGTGCATTTACCCATGGACCTACTGAGGTCCAGGTCAGCTTGTGACTCTACTGACCTTACTCACCATCCCCGTCAAACCGGGGTTGAGGGTGGAATTGTGCTCCTGAGGACTTGCTCAAGTCTTGACACCACCCCCCTCCACCTGAGAACAGAACCTTATGTGGAAATAAGGTGTCTGCAGATGTGACTGGTTAAGATGAGGTCATGCTGGAGATTTTGTAGCCCTAATGCAATGGCAGGTAAGAGGGGTACCAGGACACAGACCCACAGGGAGAGGCCACCTGAAAATGGAGGTGGCGATTGGGGTGATGTGGCTGCAAACCAAGGCACACCCTGGGCCCCTGGAAGCTGATAAGAGGCAGGAAGGACCCTCCTGGGAGGGCCAGGAGGGAGCATGACTGCCACACCTGAAGCCCCCTGTACCTGGCCCCCCCAGGCCCGCGCGGAGCTGTTTCAGCTGCCCTGGGAGCCATGCACACGTACACGGGAAGTGGCGCCATCCCTGGAGCACGTATGCCCAGTGCCATCCTTGGCAGGGTGTGCTCAGGCACCCCAGCACCCCTCCTTCAACCCCCTTTTCATCCGTAAGCACACAACAGCTGAAAGATCAAGGGAGAGCCAAGTATTGTCATAAAATGTCATTTATTGCTACAGTGCTGTTATGTACAGGACAGGTCGCCAAATCGACTCTTAGAGGATCACTATTAAAAATTCCAAAGAATCCAGCCAGCTGTGTTGAGTTGTATAAAATTATTTTACTTAAAATTTTTTCTTTTTTTTAAAAAAAGTCAGTTATCCTGAGGCACTCAGAGCACAATTTTCCTGTAACTGTGATTCTTGCCCCTCCCTCAAGGCTTTTTCCCCCAGGCTGGGTTAATCTCATTTTATATATATATAACATATAAAACTTATATTATATATGTGATAGAGTTCAGAAATCTGTGGGCCTCAGGGAGCTGCAGAGGGAAACTGAGGCAGCTTCCCCAAAGAGATAAGACCCATAGACCAGGGGGGTCACCAAGGAGTGTGACTCAGTCTTGGGGGGAGAGCCCAGGGGAACCCCAGGAGTCCAGAGGCAGGCCCCCCCAAGCTGGGATATCCCACCCATCCTGGTCTTGGAGTTTCCTCAAGATTCTCATGGGATACCCAGCCACAGGGGCATTCCAGTTTTGGGGGCCAGGCCCCCCATTGCTTGGGGAATGAGGGAGGGAGTCTTAGGGTAGATGCCTGGGATGCTGGTGGTGTGGGGTGCCCACAGCCAGCCTGGGGGTCCATAAGGCCTCTGTGCAGGAAAGAAGGAAGGGCAGGTGAGATCCCACTAGGGCTGACTCCATGCCCAGATGATACACAGAGTGGCCATCCTGGACTTTCAGTTTAAGCCTGGGATGGTCCCACCAGTTCAGGTCGAATAGGCCCCCTTGAACACAGGTGAGAAGGGTACCTGGGAAGGCTTGGGAGCTGACACTTAGAGCCTGAGGGCAGCCCACCCTCCAGGGTTGTAGACACGCAGACCAGGGGCCTTTCTAGGCAGGGACCCTGTACAACCTCCCCCCCTCCCCACATCAGGACAACCACTTGGGGAGCGGGGGTTTCTGTGCTAGAGTTCGAAGCAGGGGCTCAGATCCCCTGGCCAAACAGGTGAAGATGTGCAGGCCCTGAGCCTGGGAATAGTGGTTCTCACAAAGTCCTATCTTGGAGAGGTCCACAGGCTCGGGGCTCAGTGTGGGGCTGGGCGGGAAGGGAGGGACAGAGCTGCTTACAGGGGAGGAACCTTGACCTTCTGATCAGGGATCATCCCTGTCTCCACTGAGATTACCCACCAGGGTGTCGCCCTTCCTGAGGATGGGGATAGCAGATAGGGAAGGGAGGTCCCCATCAAGGTGAGGCCCACCCACCATTTCACAGAGAGCGTATTTTAGAGAACAGCACCACCCCCCCATGTTAGAACCGGAACAAGATGGCAGCAACCACCCCCAGGACCAGCAGTTCCCAGAGAGAGGATGGGAGACCTCAGGTCTACATGAGGTCTTTATTTTTTTTGCCATGCTCCACTGCACATGGGATCTTAGTTACCAGACCAGGGATGGAACCTATGTCCCTGAATTGGGAGCATGGAATTTTAACCACTGGACCACCAGGGAAGTCCTGGGGTCTTTTTAATACAATTTTTAATAATCTGGTTGATAATGAAATGCAATGCTCATTTCTAGAAACAGCAGCAGAAATAGCGACGAGACTTTTATACAAAAAAATTTGTTGCTTACAAAACATATGCAAAAAAGCTTAAAAAAAAAGGCATTCTAATTTCCTTCTACGTTATATATATATATAAAAAAATCTCCTAACTAAGGTTCCTTTTATTTTCCTTAAAAACAAAAACGATTAGGCTTAGGCACGATTTGCTGCTGGCTCCGCACAGCTTCTCCCTCCCGTGAGCAGCATGTTTGACCTCACGTTTAACTTAAGGCATCTTGTTTTTCTTTTCTGACAAAGTGTATATATTTCTGGCTTGCTTTCTTGCTTGGTTTCAGGTTCTATTGCCAAAAAACAAACAAAAATGCTCCTTTGGGCCCAGGCCTGGGCGGCAGGGCCTAGACGCAGTTTCAGGATCCATCCGACAGGAGACCTGGTGGCCGGGCCCAGGGCGATGCTGGCTCGAGATTGACCTCGGGCGACGTGGGGTGGGGATCTCGCGTCTGGCGTGACCGTCTCAGGTAAGACCGAGGTGGGGTCACTTATCCGGGCGACATTCCCGTCACAGGTGCCCGGCGGGGTTGTGGGCCTCTCCCAGGCCGGGGTGGGCAGCCGACAGCACCATCTGGGGGTCTCCAACCACGCCCGATACCTTCTCCTCTTCCCGGCGCTTCAAGCAGGCCGCTTTGGGGTTCAGGTTACGCTCTGAGGGGAAGGGAGAGCACTGTGGGAGAGGGTCCCCTGGGGAGCGAGGACGAAGTGCGCCTCCATTTCTCTGCCCGTCCGTATAAGGCCGCGGGGTCGGGGGTCTGCAGTGGGCAGAGCGCCGGAGGACCGGGGCGGGGGGGAGGTGGGGGCGGTCCACAAAGTGGGCAGAGCGCCACTGGTGGGGAGGGCGGAGCGGGGCGGCCGGGCGCCTACCTCGCACCTGCTGCTCCAGGCCCAGGATGACCTGCACGGCCTGTTGCAGGATGAGCAGCTTGGTCTGCGCCTTGTCCGACTTGAGGTGCAGCTGGCACATGCGCCCCAGCTCCCGGAAGGCCTCGTTAATGTCCCGCACGCGCACCCGCTCCCGCGCGTTATTGGCCATGCGCCTCTCCCGGTCCCTCAGGTCTTTCTCCTCCAGGGATAGCACCTCCTCCGTACTGCTGAGTCACAGCACCGGGGGCCCCATTAGTCCCGGGCAGGGTCGTGGGGAGGGCACCCGTTGCCTGTGTGGGCGCACGCCCTGGGCAAAGCTCCAGGGGCGCCCTGTGCCTGGCTGCAGGCAGGGCCTCAACCCCCACCCCAGGGTAGACAGGGAGCTGGGGCACGGTCTTTGCCCCCTGCCTGCTCCCCGTGCCCAGGATGGCCCAGGAAGCAGGGGAGGCCCCGTAACCCCTCCCGGGATGACGACCTTCCCCTTCAGAGCAGTTGTTTGTTGAATGATGGAGCTGGGCCTAGCTGGACCACTCAGGCACAAGGGGCCTGGAACCCCTGAAGGAAGAGGGGTTCACAGCGTTGAGACCCCTCACTCTGGGTCCCCAGAAATGTCTCTCCCCATGTTGGACTCTGCCTGCCTGACAGCCACCCTGAGTCCTGCCCGCAGGCCCCTGGACCCTGGTACTTGCACTGTAAAAGCTGTGTGCTGGATGTGGTGTCGAGCCCTCCCCAGTCTGTAACGTCTCAGTCCGCCAGCGGGAACCATGGAGTCCACACCCAGCTCAGGCCCCTGCCATGCAGCAGGGGGCGCTGCACAAGCCATCTCTGCCAGCACAGGGCCAGTCTCACTCGACACCTGCCTTGTGGACTGGGGGCCCTATTCTACCTGCCCACCCTGCCCCCTCAGGCCTAAGTGACCCCTGTGGGTGGCGGCGGCGGCCGGAGCCCAGGACAAGCGCGCAGACCAAACTGACAGTCAGGCCTTGGGTCCCCTTTCTTCCCTCAGGTCCTGGCGGGCAGGGGCCATGGGGGAAGAAAGGCCTTGGCCATAGCCCTGGCGTCCAGTGCTCCAGTGCTTGGGCGCAAGTGCGAGGTGAGGAGGGCGGCCAGGGGAGGGGGAGCACGGGAGGCAGAGAGCAAAGGGGCAGGCGTGGGGGGCGGGGGACAGACACACACACACACACACACACACACACGCACGCACACACAGCATGACACCCACATCGCCATGGAGACGTGGAAACCTCAGAGCTGAGGGGACAGAGGGCAACAGGCCAGGGCCCTAGCTCCAGTCCAAGCGACAGCACTGCAGGAAAGAAAGGGTTAACAGGGCAGCAAGGGTGGGGTGGGGGGAGTTAAGAAGGCAGCTATGGAGGACAGTCACAGGGGGTCCCTTCCTGAGATCCTCGCTCAGCCTTCCGGATGGGGGTGAACCCCCAGGTGGGGTGATGGGCTCTCATGGCCACAGAGTGCCTACTCAGAGTGACAGAGAAGCCTGTGGGACCCAGGCGATGCTAGCTGCTGCCAGCCTAGCTCTGGGCTTTGTGAAAAGGAAGAGCTGAACAGGTGGGGGGTTCTCTGGGGTCTGGGGACACAATTCTGCACCCAAGTGCCCAGGTCTAGAGGGCTAGGGATCTGGAGTCTGTTCTTCCCATCTCAGAGGGGACAATGAGGCCAGGCCAGGCAGAAGGCCAAGATTAGGAGCAGGGTATGGTCACTCGGCGTGTGGTCACCGCAGTGACAGTCACTTTCAGGGAGGGTGGTCACTGTCCGGGGGTCACTGGGGGCGATGGTCACAGCAGGGAAGTGGTCACTGAGGGAGGGATGGTCACTACAGGAGAAGGAAAGTCAGCGGGGGGTGATGTCAGCAGCAGAGAAGTCTCTGCAGGGAAGTCACGGGATGACATCACTGCAGGGGGGAGCTCATAGCAAGGGGTGACATCACTGCAGGGGGGAGCTCATAGCAAGGGGTGACATCACTGCAGAGGGAGGTCATAGCATGGAAGGTCAGGGGTGATCAAGGCAGGGGAGGTGGGCTCCAGGAAAGGGGGGGCTAGCGAGGGCAGCGGAGGGGAGGGAGCGCGCCCCCACTGACCTCGCACCTGCTGCTCCAGGTTCAGGATGACCGACACGGCCTGGTGCAGGATGAGCAGTTTGGTCTGGGGCTTCTCACTGTTGAGGTGCAGCTGGCACATGCGCCCCAGCTCCTTAAAAGCCTCATTGATGTCTCGGACCCGCAGCCGCTCCCGTGCGTTATTGGCCACCCGGCGCTCCTTCTCCCGCTCAGCCTTCTGCTCTGGGGGGAGAAGGTCGTCCTCGTCCTCGTCTGGGCTACGGGGCCAGGGGCCAGAGGAAGACAGTGAGGCAAGGCTGGGCGTGGACCCGCCGCTGCCACGGGAGCGGGCGTCCCAGGCGTGTGCGCGTGCGCCCCCGGGAGGCCCTGTGCACGTGTGTGGAGGGCCCGTGGGAGTGGGGGAGAGCGGCACCTGGTCCGGGTGCGCGGAGCCTTGAGGTCCTTTTTCTCATCCTCGGCGGTGTCAGCCGCCACGTTCTCTTCATCCTCTTGCTCTTCCCGCTTGATGTCGGCGGTGCCCGGGGCAGTGCCGCGCCCGAGATCTGCAAGAGGCAGGGGTCAGCGGGCCATGAAGAAGCCCCTGGAGAGCCGGTCCCCAGCCCCACACGGGCATCCGTTCCCAGACCCTGAGGACCAAAAGGCCCCGGGAATAAAGTGCACGAAAAGGTTATGGCCACTCAGGGCCGGAGAAGTCTCCTAAAACACTAAAGTGCTGTCCTCGAAACAGAAATCGATGAACTTGAATACATCCAGCTTGAGAACATCTCATCACCAAGAAAATAAGCAGCTGAGCCACAGAACAGAGACTCCTCACCCACAAGCGGAGAAAGGGAGCAGTTTCAGTGAGGGGAGGGCAGAGCGTCTAGGGAGTAGGCAGGGCACTTGGGCACCGCAGCTGCTCCATCACCCTGAATGGAGGAAACACTGTGGGTTTTAGCACCGGTCCTGGGTGTGACCTCTTGGGAAAACCCTCTGGCCTGACCTGGAAAAAGCGGCAACACACAGACGTGGAAATCCCAACCTACACCAGGAGACACTGCTCAGGAGATTCTGTAAAGTGCCAGCACAAAGGCCCAGGGTGGGGAGGAGCCTAATGGTCTGTGAGGCCGGGGTAGTCCTTGCATGGGTGGGAAGGCCACCCAGCAGGATGGCGACATAAACCAACCTGCAGCTGAGGGTATACAGCTGCTTGAAGCCACTGTAGGTCCCAGGAAGGTCTGGGCTGTCCTGTAGGAAGGGATGACCCCCTGGGAAGAGACTTAACTCGGGCCTCTTAGCACTGCTGGCACCAGGCTGGGCGTCCTAGGCCCTGTGGGGGCTGGGTAGCATCCCTGTCAGACACCACCCCTCCTCAGGGTGAGACCCTGGGTGTGGAGAGATGAAATTTAGACATCCATGAAGCACAAATCAGAGCCAGGCTGGTTCTGGGGGTGGGGGTGTGCAGGCAGGCATGAAGGTTGTGTGGTGGGGGCCTGGTCAAGTCTGCATAGCATGCTATGTCACCTGACAACCTGTTTTTCACAAGGTTGCTGAGGGCGGGGTGGGTGGAACAGCCCCCATGAGATCCAGGACTCCAAGCCCCAGTGGGCAGCCTGCCACAGTTACCCCTTTCTGCTAACGATCTGCGAAGTAGAGGGCTGTCCCCTGGCTGACTGCAGGACACACAGCATGCTGCCACTCCCTCAGTCTTGAAAGAAACCCTCTTGACCTCGCCCCCTCCCACTACTGCTGATTTCTCTGCTTCCCAGAACAATTAACACCCCAGAAATCCACTGACCCTGGCGGGGTCCTCAGCTCAGCGTCTGACACAGTGCGCCCTCCTCCACAAGCCTCAGTGCCCGCCCCGATGCACAGATCCAGGATCTGCCCTGTCCATACTCCACCTGGGACCCTCAACTTCACCATGTGCCAAGGACACCTAGATGCCATCTCCAAACTGGAACCCCACCTCATCTTCCATGTCTTCACATCCTTCAGAGCCCCTGGAAGTTGCCCCTCATGGCCACTGCCCAGGCTGGTCCCCAGCAGCCACCCACACCCTCTTCCCTGGAGGAGCAGTCTCTTCTGCCCCCAGTCTGTCCTCCCAGCAGCAGTCACCAGAGGGCGCCTGTAAACACCTGAGCAAAATCCCAGGCCCTCCTCTGTCCACAGCCCTCCAGGCTCCCAACTACTCCGAGGTAAAAGCCCAAGTTCTCCCATGGTGCACAAGGCCCTGAACCACCTGCCTTCCCCTCCTCCCTCTCTCCCCCTCCTCACTTGGCTCCAGCTGTTCCTCCAACATGGCAGACACGGTCCTGCCCCAGGGCCTTTGCATGTACTCACCCTGGCACCTGCCTGCTCACTCCTAACTTTAAAACTGCAGACATTGCAGTGCCCCTCTCCCCACCTACCAACTTTCCCCCCAAGCCTGTGTCCCAACATGCTCACTTCACCTTCCAACTTCCACACAAATCACCCCCTTTCTCTGCTCAATCTGTTTTGTTCCCCAGTTCCCAAAGCAGCAGTGCCCCCACCCCAGCTCTGTAGGACCCAAGGACCAGGCCCAGCAGGACTTCTCTGGCGAGGCTGAAGGTGGCACTGATGTGGAGAGTACATTCCTCTGCCCCCTCCTTAGTACCCTGGGGCCTCAGTTTCCTCAACTGGAAATGGGGGTAGACAGTCTTGAGCCCACACGGGAAGGTCTGGAGGGTGGTTCTGAGCCCCCTTTTCCAGAGGAGCAGCAAGGGGTCAGCCCACTGGTGGGCCCTCAGCACGGGCAATGTTGCTGGGACTCACCGCCATAGGAGTCAGGCGGCCGGGAGAGGTCAGGGAGGGCCACATGGTTGTGCACGAGGCCACTGCTGCCAGACAGGCTGTCCTCCGAATGTCCGCTTCCCACCTGTGGATGAGGGGGGTCATCAGTGCCAGCCTGGCCCGTGCAGCCCACCCACCACCCACCCACCTCCCAGGTCTGCCCTCACCAGCACTTACCAGGCCTGCATGCCGCCCACCCAGTGGCATGCCAGGGCCAGTGAAGCCCGAGGTCAGTGCCCCATGGCCAGGTAGCATCCCGTGCGCGTCGCCTGCGGTGCCCACGGCGTGGCTGCGGAGTACGTGGATGGCCTCATCCAGGTGATCCTCCACTTTGCTCTGCTGCAAGAAGGGGGGGTGAAGGGCTGGGAACAGCCGCCAGCGACCTTGCTGACCATTGCCTTGGATCTCATCCCCAATAACTTAGCTGACACGTCCATTCTAGTCAAGGGGCACCCGTCCTGTCACACATTCTGCTGTTTCCACACCTGGGGTTCTTATAGGACATGGTTTCCACACCCTATGAGATGTCACGTGACCACGGCAGAAACAAAATGCTAAGCCAACCTGCTTCCCCCATCAATGGACCTCCTCAGGCACCCACCATCCTTGGAACAGGTGTTCCTGTCTGTCCCTGTGCACCTACCCCACACTCCCACCATGGCACACCCTCCTCAGACCCCAGGAGGCTCACCAGGCCATGGAGACCCCCATCGTAGCTGGGCGATAAGGCACCAGGGGCTCCTGGTCGGGGCCACTGCGATGTCCCTGGAAGGGGCAGGAGACATGCATGTGAATGGGCACAGATTTGAAGTGTGTGCCACGCAGCCTAACACAGGAAGAAGCAGGGCTGGATCGGGAGTCCCAGGCTACAATGCTCAGACTGGCCACATGGGGGCTCCCACGCCCGCAGGTCGGTCTAAGGGCCTGAGCCTGGATCTGGGCCCAGCTAACCTGGCAGCTCCTCATCTGGGGTGTGCACCCAGTGTATAGGTCACCTCTTTGCACCTCAGTTACCACTTCTATGAAACCCATGGGGAAGGAGGCTCCTTCCAGTCCCGCCGCACCTAAGCCCCGAGAACACGGTACAGGCCTATGGGTACTGTTAAAACTGCCCATACACTCCAGAGCCCTTGGTCCGCTCTCCTCGGACCTGAGCCCCGTTCCAGGGCACAGCAGGAGGCATACAGTGGGTGTCTAACTAACAACCGTGGGGGTGAATAAACGCCAAAACGCCCATGTCTGCTCTGGCTCTTGGGCACCCCAGGCATCTGTGGGATCCCTCTGCCTCTGCAGGGCTTGCAGTGCATGGAGCACTCCCTCCCAGCTTTGGCCTGTTTTGTGACCTGAGGTCCCCCTCCTCCAGGCTGCCCTCCTCGACAGCCTGGGAGACAACCATGGGAACATGAGCTGAGGCAGGTGGTTGGTCCAGCTCCCCACCCAACGGGGGCTGCAGTCACCAGCCCGGGCCCCCTCCCCCAATACCCTGCACAGACCTGCCAGGCCCTGTGGGGAGCCCACGGGGGTGGAGGGGCTGGAGGAGAAGTTATTGCTTGAGTGATCCGGGGAGTAGATCTGTGATGGGACAAGGAGAAACAAAGAGCCACCAGGTGGCTTGTCAGGGCCAGCTTCTTGGGGTCACTGGCTCAGCCACCCACCACATCCCATGCCTCACCGAGGCCAGAGCCTTGCCAAGGGCATCTCCGGAGCTGCTGGATGTGGTCCCACGGGAGCCTGTGAGTGGAGAGATGTGAGGCCCTGGCTGACAGAGACTACCACACAGATGCTCCGGCCAGTCGGGGTCTGCTGCCGTCCAGCACCAGCCTCCACAGGGCTCTGGGGCCAGGTGGGCTGCAGGGCTCTGGTGAGCAGTACCCTTTGGGGGCCTCAGTTTCCCCAGTGGGGCCCCCTAATGAAAAAGCCACTTTGAAACACCTGAGGGGGGCTGAGGAGCCAATGGTAACAATGATAACCAGGACCACAGTGATAATGATACCAACAATGCTAATCTTGAGCCCACGGGGGTGGGGGACAAGGGGCTGTACCCAGGAGGCTGTCGGCTCCGCTAACGGGGGGCGTGTGGCTGGAGATGCTGCTGTAGGTGCCTGCGGGGCCTGAGAAGGTGGATGCGGCTGGAAGCCCGCCGTTCACCTCTGCTCCATGCAGCTGGTAGCCCTGCAGGGCAGGAAGGATGGGTCAGAGGGGTCACACCAGGGCACTGCCCCCCACCTGCCAAGGGCCACCCACATAACTTACCATGCGCTCATGCTGGTGCAGGCTGCCAAACCCACCACTGCCCCCCACAGAGCTGCCGCCGCCTGCTGGGAGAGGCAGGGGGGACGAGCCCCCGCCCAGCATGGGCCCAAAGCCTGCCTGGCCTGGGGCACTCCAGAGCTCGGCTGAGGGGTGGAGGCTGCCATCTGTGGAGAGGGGGATGGTAAGGTGGGTGGGCACAGGGACCCCCGGCCTGCTCCAGGCAGCCTGGGTGAGCCCCCATACCTGCCATGTAGAAGGGGGCGGGGTAGGAGCTGCCGGGCGTCTTGGCGGATGGGTAGGCTGTGGGGTCCCTGCCGTAGTCGTCCCCTGAGCTGGGGGGGTACACCTGCAGGGGCCGCGGGCATGGTCAGACAGGAAGGACTGGGGCTTAACTCTGTCTCCCTTCCACCCCACCCCCTTGTACACTATACAGCTCCAACCCCTCCCTCCAAAACTGGTGGCCAGTGTCTGCAGCTTGCTGGTGTCATCACCTATCTACAGTTCCTTCTTCACCCCACCTTCTGCACACTCTGCAGAGTCCCAGATTCAGACCTGAGGCCTTTGTAGACTAGACCCCTCACCCCTACCCAGACTACCTTTTCCCTCCTTAATCCAACAAACTCCTATTGACCCATCAAAGCCCAGCAGGGTTTTCCCCAGTGTTGGAACCTCCCTTGGACCAGCCCTGATCACAGGAGACCTGGGAGCCTCAGAGGCAGGGCCCCGGGTAAACCTTCTGCCCCAGCTGCTCCAAAGAAGTAAGATGGCAAAGGCTTTCTAGGATGAGCACCAACCCTGACTGGCTGGCACTGTCTGGAGAATGCTGGGATCGACTGGCAAGGTCTGCCCCAGCAGTGGAGCAGAAAGCAGGGAGCAAGTGATGAGTCGGGGGGATGGAGTAGGCTCAGGGGCCTCTCACTCTGATGTTCCAGATGAGACATCATGAGATGAAGCTTAAAACAACCTCTATTTTCCTGCCCCCCACCCCTAGGCTGCAGGTTTCAACCTCGGATGGTGACCCTGAGCCTGGAGTGGGCTGGGTCAGCCTCGGGGCCTGTGCTGGTGGCCAGTGAAGGAGGCAGGCAGAGAGGGCAGTGGCCGATCCAGGGAATCCAGCAAATTGCCTTTTCTCCCAGCGTGATTAAGTCGTGGGAGCTCAGCACTGGGAGCCACTGATGGCTCGGCACCATCTGCTGGGCCTGGCTCTCTGCCAACTACAGGCAGAGGGGCAAGGATGCAGAGTGGCTCCAAGCCAAGCACAGGGAGCGGGAAACCCTCTGAACTGCCCCCATGATGCCCACCTGCTCCCGCTCCCAGGACGGACTCCTGTTCAAGCCCTTTCTGAAGAGCCTCAGCCACAGGAGACCACTTATCTTAAAACACATGGGACCCAGGCTAGACCCAAGGAAGGACTTCCCGACTCCCTCAGAGCTGGGGCCTCAGGGCAGAAGTCCCCCGAGCCCCTGGGGCTTTCACCAGAACCCACGTGGGGCTGGCCCACCCTGGGGGGGTGTCACAGAGGCACTCAACCCATGCGGTCCATCTATCCCACAACTCACTGAGGATGGGAGGCCAGGCGGCACCTTCCGGACCTTCTTGGGCTGCGAGTCTGTCAGGACAGGAGGAGTGAGAACCCCGGCCCGGCTCCCACCCTCACCCTGGCCCTTCCCACCAGACGGGCCTGTCACCAGGGGTGAGACACAGCCTCCCCCACCACCCACAGCTCAGAGAGGGGACCTGGGGGCTTTTCTCTACTAAGGAACAACTCAAGCCTCTGTCCACACACAGAACCCTGGGGGCAGGCATGTGGACTTCACAGGACTTGACCGCTGGGCCTCAAGGGGACTGCGCCCTGGCCCACTCACCCAGGCTGCTGTCCGTTGCTCTCCGCCGAGAGTGCCCAGAGTAGGAATAATACTGGGACCCGCCCTTGACGCCCGAAGGGGACAGAGGCCCTGGGCTGCTGAGGGCCAGCTCGCTGGGGAGGAAGCCCACCTGGGGGAGGGAGGGAGGGATCACCAGTCAAGCCCCGCCCCCTGGCCAGTTCTGGTTAAAACAATAAGGGCAAAGGCCGAGGCCAGGTCCTTGGGTGACTGCGACCTGGGGAGGAGCTCCCTTCTGGCCAGCACCTGTGGAGTGTCTCTGATCAAGGGGTGAATGCAAAAGACAAAGAAACACCGTCAAACGTGAAGATGCCGCGCGGTCTGGGCGCTAACACACAATTGCGCCTAGGGTATCAGCTAGGTTTACTTTGTATGTATCCCTCCACTCTGCGTTTTTAAGGCAAACAGTTTAAACTCACAGACACTGGTATAAAACGGGACTCTTCCTTGGAGAGAAGGCATGACTGGGGCTGAAGGCCCACAGCTGCAGCCTCAGCCTTCCAGTCTGTAAAATGGGCATGCCAGCCGCTACACGGCACAGGAGTCATTGTGGGGACTGACAGGGCCAGGCAAGGTCTCCCCGGGCAGGGGTCCTGGTGCCCAGCAGGCGTCCTGTGGCTGTGATAGCTGCCACGTTGGCTGCAGCCTGGTGTGCACATGGGTGGTGCTGTCTGCAGCAAGGCCTAAGACTAAAGCCCCCAAGGGATGGGGGAGAGGGTCTAGAGAGGTGACCAGGACAGGAAGCCACAGGGGACCGCTATGCTGGGTCCCTGCCCCATCAGCCCTGCAGCAGGGTGGGCAAGGGTGACAACCTTGCCCAGGCTGGAAGCTGTGGGCAGGACCACAGGGCTGGGCTGGCCTCAGGTTCCCTGTCTGCCACTTGGGGCTGGATGGGCGGGTGTCTCTTGAAGCCCCTTCAGCTGTGTAGGGAGCCCGCAGGCTGGACTCAGCCTCTCCTCCACATGCACCTGGCCTGGTCCAGGGCCCTGGCCTGTTTTAGCAGCTGCTGATGAGTGACCAGCACTCGGCTCAGCCAAAGCAGCTTCATAGATCAGGAGGAAGTTGGAATGAATTTGTTTAAAATTAAAACCAAAGAATGTGAGGTGCTGACGAGAGATCAGGTGCCCCCCATCCCCACCCAGCTGCACACCCCACCCCGCCACCCCCGTCTGGAGCGCGGGGTTCTCCAGGCTCTGCAGTCCCACACCCTCCCCACAGACACTGCCTCACCTGAGTCAGGCTGCTGACCCCAGCGTCTCTCCCGAAGGCAGCATATGTGCCCCGCTCACTGCCCTTGCCTGGGGAAAGGAAGGAGGGTCACCTGGAGCTGCCTGCACACAGTAGGGACTCCACAAGTACACAACGCTGAGAAATGTGGTGGGACACTGCTCTCCCTGCAGGGTAGTGAGGGCCCAAGGGACAAGCGGGGGTCCAGCCAGATGCTGCCCTCAGATAACCTGCAGAGTATCCTGCAGACATGCCAGGCCCTCCTCGTCTCACCCCTGAGTTGGGACAGCACCTATTCGCCCCACCCCTCTGAGCTTCGGTTTCCTCTGTTCAAGGTCATGAGGTGTCAACTCCCCAGAATGCTGGGTTCCCAGAGGACAGGCTGGGGTCCCCACTGCTGCCTTAGTTCAGCACCCAGACCCCGGGCTCCTTTACCAGCCTCCAGCCAGGGTTAGCTAATGAGTGAACAAGTGATGTCCCTGGGGACGCTAAGTCAGGTGACTCGGTGAAGGGGCCCTCCCTCTACGTGGGTGGGGAGGCCCCCGCTGTGGGGGGACAACCTGTCAAGAGAGAACTGCTGGTGTGAACAGACTGTTGCAGCTACACAAACACCTGGATCCTGCCTCGTCTGAAGCAGGTCCCTGGATCAATCAATAGCTGAGCCATTCAAGTCTGTTTCTGGCTTCTGCTGAGCACCAACTCTGACTGAGGGTGGACTGTACCCAGCCCTATTCTAAGTAAGGAATCAGAATGCTTGACTGACTAACATGATTTATTCTCAAATTGCGGGGGGTGGGGGGGGGAATCTCCCTTTTATTTTAAAAGGACAATTCCAAGTAGACTTCTGGAACAAACACTGTTTAGGGGGCAGGCAGAGGGACCATGCTCCTACCAGTATGTAGATACCCCACAGGCTGCACCCAGCAGCTCAACCTCCCATGACCCCTCCAGGCAGGCAACAATGGGCCCAGGTAGGGATGAACAAACTAAGGCCTGGAGGCCAGAAGGACTTGCCCCACAGTCCAGAGAGTGAACTTCCTTCCTCCCAGGGCCGGTGCCTGTGGGAAGCAGAGCTGGTCAGCCCAGCCAGGGCTCTGGGCACCTGCCCCTCCACCCCCCATCGGGTATGGTGCAGGCACTAAATAGGGGGTAATCCTGAAAAGAAAGATGAGACGAGGAAAGGAAGCAAAGGTTCTAGGATGTGACCTGCAGTGACCAGAGCCCTGTGGGTATATAGCAGGTGCCTAAGCCCTGCACCAGGCCCCTGCATCAGGGCAGGAACACCAGGGCTCGTCAAGGAGCCTGACCAGGTTGGGGTCCACACTGGAAGACTGACCCCACTCCCAGGGCCCTGGCACTCACTGCCACGCCCCACCATGGCCACACCAGCCCTGGTCCACAGGTGAGAAAACCAGGGCCCAGGGAGGTGAGACCTCGCCCACATCGCCACTGGTTCCCTGGGCATGTCCTGGGCTCCCTGCTGCCCTCTCTGAGCTCCTTGGCCACAGGAACATGTGGCGGGTGCAGACACAGCTGGGCTCTGGGCCCCGCTGACCAGGCCAGGCCGTGGAAACTGCCCATGTTGGAAGAGGCTGAGGAAGGAACCGCGAGGGGGATCCTCTGTCGCGGCAGGTGCAGAGGTGACCCCAGGCCCCTGGGTCAGGCCCCACCTCCCAGGCTGGGAGATGCACACAGATGCCCGCTGGATACAGCAGGTGCTGGCTGCTGCTTTTGCCACCTCCCTTCCCACAGTTGCACCCAGGCCACATTCACCCATCTGGCTCCTTCAGTGTATCCAGCCACACAGGGCTTGACTCCAAAGCCCCCACACCCTGGCTGCCCCCTGGCTGGTCGGCTGGGAACCCCCAGTTCACCCACCTTCCCAGTTACTGCCAATCCTGCCATGACCCTTGGCCTGGGAACCACCACCCACCCCTCAGCCCCTCTCAACCCCCAGAGATGCCAATGCCACCATCAGCCCCAATGCTTCCCTCAGAACAGGGAGACTGGGGCTCATGGGGACAAGGGTCCTGGGGGCCGGGTCCTTTTTGGTGAGCAAGATGGGGGTAGGCCTTCGGGTCTGGGGAGCTGCAGAGTAATCACTACCAGTTTTCGGAAGGCTCTGACAACCCCATCCAGAGGGTCAGGAAGCCAGGACTCACAATGCGGGACCCTCGTCCGGATCCTGATCCCCACAGTCAGGACGTGGGCGCTCCAGGGAGGGCGGACGGGCCTCAGCCAGGTCCTGAAGTGGTTAGGACTTCACTTCCCAGCTGCACTTGGAGGGTCCCCACCCATGTCCTCTCTCTGGATGCCCTGGAAGCCCTAGCACTCAATTACACTGACCATCTCCCAGACAAAGTGGGTGTGCGGGGAGGCGCAGGGGGCATGGGTGCCACATGTGCAGACACTCACCTCCGAGCCCGGGACCCAGGAATGTGGAAGAAGGGAGGCTGCTGTGGGACTCACCAAAGTGGGTGCCATCACTATAGGTCTGTGGGGAGACAGCAGGGGAGGGGCCTGGGTCAGGACACGACCCTGAAATGCAGAGCCCAGAGCCCTGCAGATCAGGCTGGCATCCAGCTTCACTGCTCTGGGCCCATCTCCCCATGCAACACGACCCCAGGGAGGGAAACCAAGAGTCTCGGCCTCTAGTGGCCCCTCACCCGGCCGGGGTCGAAGGAGGAACTGTCTTGCTCACTGGTGCCCCATGAGCCTGAACTTGGCCGGTCCTCGAGACCTGTAGGGCAGGAAGGCAGGGTCAGGGGCCTCACCTGCCCACTCCACACCAGCCCCCACCCCTGACCAGAGATGAGGGGTGGGGTGGCCCTTACTCAACCTGGGATGCTTTCCAGGCTGTTCTGACCCACCCTGGAGCCTGTCCAGATGCACCCAACCCACTCTGCCCACAGTGACACCACCACCAATGGCAAGCACCCTGGGTATGCGGGTACCAAGAAGACAAATTCCACCCATCCGGGACTGGCCCCCATCCTGCCAGGACAGATGAAGCCCTTGACCGGTCTCTGGGTCTCTTGGGGGGCAGGGGGGTTAACAAGGGATGGCCTCTCATCTCCCCTTTCCCGTAGCTGCCAACTCAAAAGATGGGGCTGTGCCTTTGTTGAAACGAGGAGCAGCAGCAGCTACCACTGACTCCCCGCCAAGCAGAGGCTGGCGCCTGGGAAGGTGGAATCCAATCTGGAAGGCAGGAGCTTACCCCGCTCACCCAGCCCAAGGTGTGGCAGGGGTTAAGCATGGTTGGGACTGGGGACAAGGACCATGGATGGAGGGGTGAGCAGGGTGGGGCCTTATCTCCCTGAACACTCGCCAGGCACGGCCCAGGACTCTCCCCACCTCATTCAGGGGCAGACAGCACTTGCTCACACTTTTCATGGGGGAGGGGTGGGTTGTCTCCAACACTGCCCATGGTGGTGGTGGGGGGAAGGGCCTCAGGGCCCAGAAGAGCAAAAATGAGCAGTCCTGGGGCCCCTCCCACCTGTGTCTCAGTTTCTCTCCTCAGTAAGTGGGGTCATGAACACATCCCACTTTGCAGGACTGGGGGTGTCCACATCTGACACTGAGTCAAAGCTCCCCAAGCTAGACTGGGCGAGAGATGCAGGGAGGGCTGTGCCCAGCACTGTAGGCTGTGCCAGGGGACAACCCCTCCCCCAACCCTGACCCTGCATGGTGGACATCCAGAACACCCTAGTTTCACCCAGCCCTCCTTTGCTCATCTGTACCAGAAACTTACTTCAAACTGCAGCCTCCTATTTTGGTGCCTTTGTGTTGTTAATCATCTCCCCTGGAGAACTGGTGTTTAATTACTGCCTAATTTGCATAATTGTGCATATTAATCTTCTTATCTAATGAATATTCATATAGCTCACTTAAGATTTTGTTTTCTAATCAAAAATTTCCAGTGTGATTATGATGCAGGGCTGAGACCTGCCACGGTGGGCAGGGGGTCACACAGGGAGCTCCCCTGGTCTCCATGAGTCTATCCGGCATTAGCTGTCAGGTTTGGGGTGTCTGCTCCCCAAGGTGCTGGGCCTTCACCTGGACCATGGGAACGGGAGCAGCTGGTGGTGGGGGATGACCTCGGGCACGGGGCCAGCACTTGAGCCCCAGTTTCCCTCCACACCCGCTTACCTGTCGTCCCCTTGCCCTCTGGCACAGCCCCTCTCCTAGATGAACTCATTCTGCTCTGGGTCCCCCACTCCTATGGGCATTCACACCAGGCCCCAGGAACTTCAAGCAAGAGCAGGAGGCCAGGTCCAAGGCCACATCCAAGCCTCCCTGCACCCCAAGGCCTGGCAGGGCTGAGGGGCGCTCCTGGGGCCTGACACCCAGGGACCCCGCTAACACAGGCCCCACAAGATTTAGGCAGAGGCAACCAGGCCCTGCCCTTCCCTTTCAGGTAAAAATCTCCTCCCCCAGCCCCAGGCTCCCCACTCCTAGAAACGACAAAAATAGGGATGACCCTTCCCCCACTACTCCCATTAAGTTATTACCCCCCCCCACTGGTTAATAACACATTTTAATAAACCATCATGAATATTCATAACATTCCCCTTGTTCATGTTCCAGTTAATATATACTAACAGAATAAGACTTCACAGACTGAGTGTATTTTTTTTTTTAAACAATCGCACTCTTTTTTTAATAAAGCTGGAGATGAAGTGGTGGTGGGGCTACACCCAGAAAAATCACCCCTCTGCTCACTCCTGGCCCACCACCCTGGCAAGAGGCGAGAGATGGACGGAGAAGGCTGGGGGGTGAGGTGCGGCACAGAGGGACTTGCCCAGCCCACACCCCAGCTGGCTGCCCCCTTGGCCAAGTGACACGGGGGGAGAGCTGGCTGAGGGGCCTTGGTACCGGATGATTCCTCCACAGCAAGTCTGCAGATTGGGACCTTGGACCAAGTCCAGCCCTTGCCTCCTTTTGTCAATAAAGCTTTATTAGTACAAGGTCACAGGCATTTGTTCCCACACTGTCTGCAATGGTGTTTGCCATTGTAGATTAGTTGCACATACTGCCTCGCTTTTTATCAGAAAGGTCAGCTGACCTGAGCATGAAGATTCCTGGAGCCAGTGCCCCTGTATAAAGCAGCCAGACTAGCAGACTTTGGTACCTGGAGTGTGGGGAAGATGGTCATGGCACCTGAATAGGGCCCTGCAGCGCCTCCACCTCAAACCTGCAGCTGTACAGCCATGGTCGCTGTCGGGGGTTCTATCCTGCAGCCCCAGGCCTCGGGTCCCAGCCTAAATCCAAGGAGCTATCCTCCCCCCACCTCACTCCAATGCTCACTCTGCAATCCGACCTGGATTCAGCCAGGGTGTGTCCCCTGGGTCAAGCCACCACCCTGCACCAGTGTCCCCCCAGGTTCCCTGCCCACACACCACCCATGGCAGGCTGGCTCTCCTCCCTCCCTCCAGCCTCTGCCAGGGCTCCCCACTGCCCTCAGGGTAGAGACCAGACTCCTCCCTGACCACAGTTCTCTCCCAGCTCACTCCTCCCTGACCCCCAGCAGGTGAGCAGATCTCAACCCCACCCAAGCTCTGCCCGGGTGGTCCCCACACCTGCTGACCCTTTGTCCCCTGACAGGGAGGTCGCCATGCCGGCCCCCTCTGTCCCCAGCGATGCCTGCACAGGGCTAGCCCCCAAACAACCTCCAGAGATACCTGTGGCCCCCATTGTTGATCCGATAGCTACTGAACCCATCAAAACGTCATCTGCCGTGCCATCCTCCTGCAGTCACATGGGCGACTACCTGACTGCAATGCGGCCTCCAGAAGAGCTCCCACCGCCACCAGGGGCTAATTAACACACACTCAGATGGACGTAAGTGGCTAGCGACTGCTGCACTGGACATGTGAACCACCCAAATAAAAACTAAATAATAACGATATAAACCACCACACGCCATGATCACACCTGAAAAAAAATTAACAGCACCTAAAGGGCTCCCGCACTGCCCCCAATCAAGGAGATTTCAGGCTAAAGAGAAAGTCAGTGGGGATAACACCCCACCCACTTCCAAACCAAGGCTTCACTTCAACCCAACCTCTCATGAACCCCTGGAGAGGAAACCCCTAACCCAAGGAGCTTCCCCAATGGAAGGAGCTGGCCCTCAGATGGAAGAGGGGGTCCCACAAACAGATGGTAATACAGAGAAATCGGGTCCCTCAGGTGCAGAAGTTGCCCCACCCCTCCTATGAATTTTGGATTCGTGACAAAGCAACAGCAGAAAGACCCCCTTCTGTTCCAGTCTCACAGGCCGGGTGAGAGGGTCTCGACTCCACCCCACCACCAAACCTATGCTCAGAATCCCAGTCAGGAACTCCCTGCAAAAACAGGCACAGGGCAAAACAAAACCAGAACACAGAAGACAGCCATGTTCACGGATTTACGATCAATCCCAGGAAACAGAAGGGTATCTAAGACCACCACTGCCACGCGTGTGCTCCCAAGGAAACTGTAGAGCTTGTGGGGGTGCCCTGGAATGGATGGAAGATAAGGCTTCTGAGAGAGAAGAAACAGGAGAAACTAATAATTTTGCAGCAAATTCACAAAAGCAGCATCAGAGGCGGGGAGGCAGAAGCGACAATGCAGAAGTGATCAAACACAAGGGTGGGCTCTGGAGATGCCCCCAAACACCAAGGAAGGGGGCATTCTGAGACCCCAGGCGTCCATAGAGAACAAGAGAAAAAACGCCCAAACTCAAAAACACCGAGTCAAAAACAACCTAGGTGCTCAAAGGGAAAAGTGAGGAGCTGGAGGAACACGCACACCTCTTGGACACCAAGCACTCGTGTCCCCACGCAATAACACAATCCATAGGATTGAAGCTCAGGGAGGTATATAGCGGCCTCCCTGGGGAGTACCAGCCCCAATCCCATCCCCAACCCACTGCCACTCACAGGAGGCAGGTGCCCAGGTGCCGCTCACCAGAAAAGCAGGAGCAAGGTGACATCAGCTGTGGCCCCTCCCTGTAGAAGATCCAGAAGGAAGCGCTCCAGGCAGGAGGGTAATCCCAGCACATGCCACTCAAGTCAGGAGGAAGTGATGAGCTGGCACCTTTGACCCACATGTTAAACAATTTAAGACACTCTCCCACCAAGAGTGGGCACTAGAGTGCACAGGTGCTGCACTCCCCGGGGGTCCCCCGTGGTTTCCTCCAAGGAACCCTTGAGCAGCTGCCATCATCCCCACTTCAAAGATGAGGAGACTGTGGCAGAATTAATATAACAAGGACACGTGTTTCCCAGCTGGATACAAACACACAGGACAGGACTTGAAAAGAGAAATGATGTTTTTAAAAAGTGGCAACGTATTCAAACCAAACAGGAGGACTGGGGAAGGTCACTTTCCCGCAGGGCACGAAGACGTGATTTCACTTCTGGGGAGGAAACGGCCTGATCCAGGAGGACCCCAACCAGCAGAGCTGCAAACCAGCACAGGCTGCCAAACTCAACCCAAGTAAGTACGCCAGACCCGGATGCATGGAGGAGAAACTACCATCAGTGTGTGAGAAGTGTGAGAGGGACGCAGACTCCACTTTTATGAAGCCTGAAAAGCGCTCTAGAACGAGCGACTTGGGAAGACGATCAGACGCACACAGACACACCAAGTAACACCAGTGAAACGGAGGGGCCAGAACATTTATACACAAGTCTGAATTCAAGGCGCAAACTCTCACAGGAATGGAAGGTGGGTTTTTGCTGACAGTGGGTAGGACCC